AACTTTATTTATTATTGCATGAAAAAGTGTATTTTGAAACAATTTAATTTTGCTATTAGGTATCATTTTCTTTAACTTTTTTTTTCTCTAAGTTCCAACTTATCATGATACTGACGCAGCAAGATTTCGCAGAGCTCTAGAGGATGCTGCTGTTTTAAGGCAACCTGCAAGATTTGACATTGCACAAGATAATGCTGCTTCAAGGCAACCAACACGATCGTACATTGCACAAGAAAGTGGTGCTGCTTCAAGACAACCAGCAATATTTGACTTTGCACAAGAAAGTGATGCTGCTTCAAGTCAACATACAAGTGATGCTGCTTCGAATTCTACCATTGCACAAGACAATGCTGCAGGTGTAGAATTGATAACAAAAAAATCAGAGCCATCAGACTGGATGCATGTTGCCTATTTCTTAGAAAAGACTCGCCAAGAAAGTTTTATACGACTCTTCGATGGCGAGTCTGTGATAGAAAACTTGGAGCACAGGAACATGCTAGCAGCGTCTGGTTTTTTTTATGCAGGTAGTTACTTAAACATAAGGCATTTAATTTTACACTTAGGTTGTGGAAGGTTTTACTTTTGAACGCTTGTTTCTTAAATGGTGCAAACTATAGGATAATCATACTAGGATTTGTACAAGGAATTCTGAAATGCTCTGTAATTATTGGCTAAGTTAGTAAGTAACTCAAGTTAATTAGTAAAGGAAAGCAACCAAGAAAATTCTGAATACAGATCAAGCCAAGAAGAGTGAATGTACATGTACAAGTAGTTAGTAGTTTCCTAGTTAGTATCTAATACCAAAAGGAATTAAAATAAAATTAAGTAGGCCCTGTGCCACAGAGACGTTGCGAGGGGGGGGGGGCATATGTCCCCGGGTACTGACCTTAGTGGGCGCCAAAATGGGTTGGAAAAACAAATTTAAAGCTTGAGGGAAGGGGATGCAAATCCAAAGTTTGAGGGGGGGGGGGGTGCAAATTAAAAGTTTGAAGGGGGGTGCAAATCGAAAGTTTGTCCCCGGGCGCCGGGTAGGGTCGCTACATCTCTGCTGTGCCAGCATCACTACCAACACCATCTGAATGTCGTGCTGTTGACAGCCACTTGTTAATCTATACAATTTAGTCCAATACATGATAATACATATTTCTACTGAAACATTTTAGTTTTCAATTAATTAAAAATTAGTATAAGTAACTTATTATTTGCCTTTCTAGGGGTTGATAAAAACGTCATGTGTTGTCGTTGTGGATTTAAGGCAAGAAATGGTGACAATGTTCGAAGTGTGATAGCTCTCCACCGGAAAGATTGCCCTTCCTGCATGTATGCCCAGAGAATGTAAACAACAAACTAGCAGCAGGAGCTGGTAGGTGGTTATTGACTGTATAGTCGGGGCTGTTATTTGAGAGTCTACTATGTGTGTGAGCCAAAATATTTGTAATTTATACAGACTTAAATCAACACTGTCAGATTCTATATCCTGTTATACTGTGTACACATACATATATATTGAATTTAGAAACGCTTAACACAATAACTTTTATATGACTATTTATTCCATTAATGTTGGTGTAGTTGAGAGTATTTTTTATCAGTAAATTTTTAAAAAAAGTCATTTTGTAATTCTATAAGCATTCTGTCAACTTTTAATATTTAACAAAATGTAGGTTCCTATATTGTATTACATCTTCCTTCCCCCCCCCCCCCCCACCCCACCTTCCCCACCCTGTCCCAATGACTCGTTTGACGCAGATTATGGCTGACTTCTCAACATTAAAACAAACATGGTGTAAAAAGTACTGTTGAGCACTACCATATGCAGGCAGCATATACATCTAATTCTTAGGGCCTCTGCACTAGGTTTAACCTCATACTCTATTTTTTATTTAAATGTGTTTCTTCCCTTATTTATGTCTTGTTTTTTAAAAGCCTGAAGACATGACGTGCATACTACTTTTAAAATTACAATTGTAAAACATTATGAAAGCCAAAGTGAAGTTAACCCATATTCTGCTAGCGTCCCACTTTTGGGACGCTTGTAAAATAAATTGCTAAAATTCATTAAAAACTAGTAAAAACACAAATCATGTTTCATTGTATTTGAAAATGGTTAGACTATTGTATTTGTGTGTGTTTTGTGAAAAAAATTAATTTAGAAAAATGTTGCAGCGCCGGCTTTGAATGGACTTGTCAAAATGGCGGAAAAAAGAAAACATGCGCACATGAAAATGCATATCTTCTAAAGTATTAACATTTTAAGTGCAAAATACATTTGAAACTTGTAGCAGTACCATATTTCTATCTGATAAAAATTTAAGAGTAACAATTTTTTTAACTACTTCGTTATATCAAGTGTACAATAAGCGTCCCATAAGTGGGACGCTAGCAACGAAAGGCCCCATGTAGATTGTTACACAAACGTCACATTTATTGGACACTAGCGAGAAACACAGATGCAAATGTCTATGTTAAATGGTTATTTATGGTGAAACAATTGTTGACTTTGTTAACTGTTGACTTTGGAGTGTTAAGTAGTGTTTATAGATATTTAATTATGACCTTGACCTATATTTATGTAGATTGTTACACAAACGTCACATTTATTGGACCCTAACGAGAAACACTGATGCAAATGTTTATGTTAAATGGTTATTTATGGTGAAACAATTGTTGACTTTGTTAACTGTTGACTTTGGGGTGTTAAGTAGTGTTTATAGATATTTAATTATGACCTTGACCTATATTTACTAATATATTATTGTATAAAAAAATTGAAAATATTGAAAAACGTACGTTTTTTTTTAGTTTTCAGAATTACACTAACTGAAGTATTTAATACCATTCAATATAAACAAATTTAGTATTGCTGTAAATTTACTAGTGCGTGATATTAAAATTATAAAAAACCATAATAATAACAATGGTCATGATTTAGGTGAAACGATTCAGTCATTGGGGTTGGTTAACACTCTTCATATAAGAGAGCTCAAGCTACGTATAGCAGAAATGTGAATTAGCTGTGTACTGTTGTCATTCCCCAATAATATTCCCCTCCAAATGTTCCCCATACCAGTTTTACTTTGTTAAATTTTACGAGGCTTTGTAGAGGGATTGCTGGTGCTAGATTGGGAGCTGTTTGAATAGTGAGGTGCATACACGGATGAAAGCCATGAACACTCAATACAGGCCTTCAGAGACGGAACCGGGCCCTAGAAATAAGATGTCTGATGTCCAAATGTACGCCTGTGGGGGGGGGGGAGATAGCGAAGGTAACAAAAGAGAAGATGGCTGGATGACATCTGGGACTGGACCGGATCGTCTTTTGCAGATTCACTGAGGGCAGAGTTTCTTCCAGGGGAAGGAGGGGGGGGGGGGACTCTGCACACAAAACAAAATGGAATTTATATACAAAACATACTTTTATCAGTGTCCACCCTCCCCCGGAAATTTAAGCCCCCCCCCCTTGCAAATTTCAAGTACGCCCCCCCCCCTCCACAAATCAATTATTTATATTTAATTATATTACATTTTCGATGAATAATAACAATAGTTGTGATCATGTGTATATATTTAGATGTACCAGTCACAGCTTTACTTATTTCCAACTGTTATTCACTTTGATGGATGCTAGATTGAAAGAAAACTAGACATTTGATTATAATTTCTGCATTTCAGACCATGGTATGGCTAACCCAATTAAACATTATCAGTATTTTAGCTGTCCTGAACAATGAAATCATTGGCCTAACAATACAAAATCAGTATACAGCTTAATTTTCGCGAGATTAGCCATATTTCGTGATAAATTTTTTTTTTTGGTCAATAAATGTACATGGGCCGTTCGTTGCTAGCGTCCCATTTATGGGACGTTTTTTAAAAAATCGATATTTCAAAAAGTATTGATTTTTTTTAAAAAATCTATAGTCAATCCTTCATTCATTGCCCAAAAGCTAAACCATATCAAAAAATTATAAAAATTTGAGACCTTGGGATAATATGAGTTAAACTAACCAGTATATAAAATGTTTTCTTACTTTACAGGTAAACAAAGTAAAGTTATGAGAAGTGATTCCATCAAGTTAGGTGAATGTTGACAACATTACAGACTCCTCTAACCAGTTGAACTTAATATGCTGACCAGATTGGCCTGAATCAGAAAGATGCTGACAGCTCTGAACTGTTTGGTTAGAACAGAAGTAGTTTAAACAACATCAGGCCGAAGGTGTTGAATTCATAAAGAAAAAACTGATAAAATGAAGAAGTATTTTTTTCCTGTTTGATTTAAAAGTAAAGTTCATGAAGCAGAGAACGTCAAGTTCTAGTGAAGTGCCTGGAGAATTAAGTGATGTTTCAATCACGTGTGGTAGATATTTTAATCTCCATTACAAAAGTTAACAGCTTCATCTTCATCAAGGGGAGAATACTTTTTGATTTTAGAGCATTTTAGATTCCGAAATGGTGAAACGTAAGAGTTGATTTTTTTTTTTGGAGTTTTACAGTTGTTCCATTCAATGGCTAAACTCTGTTTTAATTCCAGGAAATATTCGCTTTTTAAATCTAAATAATGATCGCGTTTACTGCCGTTTTGCCTGAAGAAATTTTGCATAGAGAGAACAGCTCTTAACTCGTCGTCAGTTAGACTTTTTTTTTGGAGAGAGCCTTTCTGAATAATTCGTTATTATTTTGTGCTGTGATAGAGCCTCAGACATTGTTTTACACATTGGTTTAATTAGTCGTTTGATAAACAATAAGGCTGTTTGTTTGTTTTTCTTATCATTGATATACACACATGAACGATCAAGAGAAACTGAAAAACACAGAAAATTAGCAGCTTTTGTCAATCAAAAATACTGCTGTTAATGGTGCATCTAATTTACTTATTCATTGAACTAATAGTTTAAGATATTTAAGCTTAGACTTGAACGATTTGAAGTGATTCTGTATTTAGTTTTAATCAAAACTAAGGATGACTATTCAGTTTAAGGATTTCTTAAATTCACAAACTGTTTGGATTTCTAGTTTAGAAACAAATTGTTTATCGTGTAACTCTTATTCAGAGATTTACCACTACAAGTATGACCTCTTTAGTAGCGGACATGGAGCAACTAATATTTTCAAACACTTTCACTTTGAGATGTAAGTAAATCTGTAGTGGCTTCATTTTTACAAGTTATTAAAGAAATATGCAAATTCCATTCCATTAATAAACAGTGTCCTATATAGCAACTTTAAATTTATCTTTACTGGGCATCTCAAAATATTTGTTTCAGTAGGCCTATTAAAAGCTTGTATTTTTTTAATTTTTTTTTAATTTTCTGTCTAGTAATAGTTAAAGTTTACGAATTGTAACTTGTAAAGGTACCTTTGGCTAGCGCTCTAGTTGATAGTTATAAGTACATCTAATTGGGGAAAGGATAGATTTTGATTTTGCTATGATATGTCTGAACATCCTATTACTTCTATAATGCGGCCTCTATATACAATACAGTTAGGGAAGCCGACGTAAAATAGATGGGTTAAAGAAATGAAATCGTGCCACCACTCCTTGTGTTGTTTGTCTGTCCGTCCAGAGACTTAGTTCAAACATTAAAAGGCTTTACTCTTTATAATGTGGTCAGCATTATGTTGAAATCACGGGCTAAAATTAATGGTGTTCAAGAATATAGGGAACATACTGATTCAATCCGGTTATGCCTGGTTCGTGCTAGATATTTTACCAGGAACCGGTCAAATCTGGAGCGTAGTGTTGCTAGGCAACTTCGTAGTCTCAGCTCAGCAGGAGTGCAGTGTAAGCGTAGGCCTATCTATGGTATGTATTACTATCAGTGGACCAAATTTTGAAGTTTTTTAAACTGTAAACATATTCACAAATCTGACTATACTTTTATACTCGAATCTTTAAATTATGCAAAGGCATGTAGAACTGATATATTTAATTTTAAAAAACCAGTAGATCGAACTTTATTGTGTTGTGAATGTAGCCAGAAATGACATAAGCATTAAAAAAAGTTAATAATAGCCTAACTGAAGTAAATTATTTCAAAATAGTGTAATTCGATATTTTTATTCAAGACAGCAGGTTAGTAGGCTATGAGCTGTAGGTTAGGTCTATTACTTTTTTTGTTGTTTTTTTTCAAACATCTAATAAACTTAAGTTGTGCTTGTTTTTTTTTTTAAATGTATCTAATTTATCCAAACGGCAGTCACGGTAGTAGCGGGGAAACATAATTTAATTTTTTTTGTATTCCATAAAATGGGGATTATTTTATTATTTAGGTGTGGTTTGGGCTGGGTTAACAATATAATTAATTAAATAAATAAATTATTTCAAAATCAATAAATTTTATGGGATGTGACCTTAATTTTTTTTTTCGATTAGTGAAATGGAAAGTGAAACTATCGGATTAACCCAAAGTACGACTAAGTATTCTAAATAGATAAAATTCCTTGGAAGAAAAGACATTTCGGGAAAATCAGATTACGTGACAGCATTAGTGTCAATAAATAGATTTGTAAAGGCGTTGGCTATAATTACGTAATGCATAGCCTAAGTACTACTAAGTAGAGGTATTTTGTTTGTTTTTAAGGTTAATGCCAGTTTATAAAATATTATCTATCATTAAAATACTGACCTTGTGAATTTCTAAAACTGTTATGGAAGTCGCCCTTACATGGCTTTACGATTGATGGTGATTTTGATTTGTGTAACAAATGAAAGCTTGGCTATGCTGCGATCATGTGTGAAGGGACGGGGCTAAACAAACATGTGTGACCTACTAGCCTACGCCATTCGTGTTATTATTGAAATAAAATAAATAAGAAAAACTTCAATTAACACAATAATTTAGACTCTTTTAAGGCCTTGTAATTTGTAACGGGGAGGAGTGTTAATCAGGGGGTAAACAGATCTAACGAAATGTCTACATGGTAGGGCCTACTAACTACACAAATCCAATGTATTATGTTGCAAGAGAAAACGCGACATCACAAACTGAGTAAGTTGCCGATTGTCGTAGATAGGCGAGCTACAGCCAATAGTGACGGTCGTAGCTAAAAGGTCATGAAGCTGCATACACAGTAGAAACTTGGATTCTTAAAATTTAAATCGTAATACTCATATAATTCTCAAGCATAACCTATAGGAGTTTTTGGTTTTTCTAATTTAATATCTGTATAACTAAAAAACGATTGATTTTATTAGCAATGAATTTTAATTTGAACAACTGTAACTTAAAAACTGAGCCATTACAAATAACACCTTTTAATCTGGACATTCAAAACAATCACTCAGGTCACTAAACAGCTGCTAATCTATTACAGCCTTAACGAGAAATAACGGCTAAATTTCGGTTTCAAATATTGCTTTTTAAAATGCAAAAGTTGTGTAGCCTCATTTTCTGTCATGAGTCACCTCACTCGGTCCTGTGGGAGGGCCGTTGACACCCCACACCACCCCGCCAGCTTATTTAGTACTGTTTCTTAAGTAGTTTCATAGTTTCTATAAACTTTAACATTAATTACACCTTATATAAAAATATATTATATTTATGGTACACGCGGTATTGACAACATATGCCCTTATTAATTCTCCAAATCAATATCATAAAGGACAGTACGGTCATCGAGGGTATCGGTGATTCAGTTACTAATTATCGTTTCTTCAATAAAGTTGCGTTTGAATTCAAAATATGTTTTCAAGAGTAATAAAGCGCACCTTCTGTCGTCGACTATGCTTCATAAACCTCGGTAGCGCGAAATAACTATCACCAATGATGCGCCTATGTGAAGTTAAATGTTAGAAAAGTATTAGGCTGTCGACTGAGCCATATTGAATGACTCACGTTTTAAGATACATTGAATAAAATTACACTGACCTTTTATGTAAATGCTTGTATCACAGTAAACATATAAAGACGGTCTTCCTCCCTCAACAATTTTACATCGAGTAAACGCGTGAACAAACTTTGTTTATCACTTACTAATCACTAACGATCACTAGGTGATGTCATTCTTGTGATAATGCCTCACCCTTTCGTGATGTTCATAACGTGGGGGGGGGGGGGGTTGTAGGCCGATCCAAAATTAAAACATCATTTTCATGTTTGTATTTTATATATTTCGTTTAAAGTGTTCTAGTTATTTCAATTTAAATGTTTCGTAATAGGTTCTTGGGAAGGTCTTGGTGGCTCACTCCACCCCTAGATGTCCCCAACCCCATGCAATAGCCAAAAATTACATTTCGAAAACTAGATTTTATTGGCATAGGGGTTAAAGTACAGTTGTTTTTCTTTTCCTTTGCTAAGTTCTAGCCCGTGTAATTATTTTGTAAGTTACAGTGTTATCAATAGGGTCGCTACGCCTCTGCTTCCGATTCAAGTTGGAGAAAGGGCGCTCCGCTTCCCCCCCTCCCCTCCTTCACCATCTCGAAAAAAGCTCGCGAATGGTTTTTATCTGTCACTAAAACTTTATGGTATTTAACTTTTACAAAACCAAGGCCCTCCCCGCCCCGCATCTACGCCAATGGAAAACTATTTATAATCACTTTATTTTTAATTTCAGCACTATATATAGCCTACTGTTAACTGTATAGCCTACTGTATAGCCTACTGTTAACTGTATAGCCTACTGTTAGCTGTATAGCCTACTGTATAGCCTACTGTTAGCTGTATAGCCTACTGTAGAGCCTACTGTATAGCCTAATGTTAACTGTATAGCCTACAAAATATATAAAAATATATTGAATACGCTTTATAAATACGCTTTAACAAACTATATAGAGAAGTATGTGATCAATGTTTATTATTTCAAATAACTTTGGTGTAGGCCTCCCCTACAACTACAATCTACACGCCTTACTCTAAGTGCGAGGGCTCATGTAGATAACATAACCTGCTATATAGACCCTACATTCATATAGAAAAAACAAGTAATTTAAAAAAGTCTAGTGACAATTTTAGCGCAATTTCCTTGTGTTATCTAAAAATAGCTCTGTCGTAGCGTAAATCAAGAGCAGGGTTAGTAAAACCATTGGTTAGTTATTAAACCGTTTTTTATTAATTTTTTTTTCAGTATTTTACATGTTTTATTTACAATAGAGTAACATGACTAAAAACCATTGCGCGCCCAGCTACCGAACGTGACGTCGCAGCCATTGAACGTGATGGCGCAGCTATTGAACGTGATGACGCGTGTGGTGTGGTTGCATAAAATGCCTACTAATTCGGTCCAAATTTTAATTAATTCAAAAAATTTTTTGTGACCAAACGAAAGGATATTTTTGAAAACTTTCTTCGGCAATATTGTTCTAAATTATGGCAGGAATCGATTGGTACATGTTTCAAGTCGCTAAGTGGTCTGGTTGCCGAGTTATGGGCCAAAAACTACATTTTTTCGAGGTTTTTTGGCTTTTCCGGGAAATCCATGAAAGAAACCCGGAATTTTTATGGCCTATGTTTATCCTGGTAACTTGCTCAACATAATTGCTTTTGGAACTAGTCCTCGATATTGCTTCTTTGAGGAGGAGATACGACTTAAAGCTGCGGACACACATCCATCCATCCATTCATTCCCAGAAAAGACGAGTTAATAAACGCAATTCTCCAGAATAGAAATTGCGCTAAAAAACAATTTATTTTAACAATGCGAGTGTTATAAGTTATATACAGTTTTTTTTTAAAAATTACATCTTTTTATGCCTACAACAGCCATTTGAATTTTATGTTCTAAACACAGATAAAGGGAGAGCATTAAACTATATCCTACCTACACTGTCCTACACCAGTCAACCAACCAGGCTAAATTCAGCATTTGATATCGCCATGGCTACGAAGAAAAACGTGCCCGTGTATAATGGTGAGTTAACGTTTGTCCTTAATTTTTATATAATTTATACGATATTGTTCTAGATCTAGATTTTAATGAAGTGAATTTCAAAAAGGATATAATATCATAAAAGTAAAGGATGCACAGTTGACACAGATCTAGATCATAATCTACAAGTGTAACAAGTACATTGCAACCCATTTACAGTTTTGGGTTTTGGTGCACTTTTGGCCTTAGGGTCCATGTCTTATTTGTTGAACTCTTTGATATATTCTACCTGGAAAATGTTTTTACCCCCCCCCCCCCCCCCCATGAGACGATCCTGGCTATGCCACTGGATGACTCCTACCTGCTTGTATGCTGAGATCATTAAACCAGATTAACTCTACTTTATCTGCCCCATGTTTCTTGGGCAAGAACAGGAATAGATGATGAATAATAAATAACATACATGTAATATTTCCCTGAACTGAAATAGTAGATACATCCTTATATTATATACACAGTCTTAAATGTTCTATTTACTTCTGAATTTATTATTTTATAATAAAGATCAAGATAACATGAGGTTTTTATTTTTCTTTGGCAGGTGATGACCTTAATCTGGCAGCTGACAATAGAAGTGATGATTATGATATAGGGCGATGTAAAACATGTGACGAAGCAAACCATGTTATTAGCTACTGTAGCATGATGGATAAAATTAAAGATCAATGCCTTTTAAAGCTACTAACTTTAATTGGTATTCTTGTTTTCAGTGTTAAAGTTAATTTTAGGAGTTCCCGACGCCCTGTTAAAGATAAATCAAATATTAAATGTAGGCAAGGGACAGGTTTTTTTTGTTGAGGGACCAAGACAGCTGCCAGCTAATCTACAGGAGGAGCAAGTTAACACACCGCTATATGTCGCTGTACACAAAGATCTAGTGTATGATGATGAGGAAGCTAGAAATTCTGTAGTCGAATTATTTTACATCCGAGGAGATAAGAAGGGGCTCTTACAAGTTCAAGGGACTTATGTAATCCATAGTGCTGTACATGGAGACCACAAATCTCTTCTAGTTTGTGAGACAGACATGAAGACGCTGTACACAACTCTGCTTGAAAAGATGCAGGAAGCCAAGCGTCTTGTTCCAATGTTGCCCGGGGATATGAAGCTTAGTTTAAGGGATTCAGTTTTTATGTTTCATCACCTGCATGGGAGACCACTGACCATTTCATGCATTTCAGTGAAAACATTTTATTATAAAAAATCAATGGCTAGCAGCAATAACTCTAAACTAGGAGAATTTAATTATGGTAATTACCGTTTCAATCTTTGATACTTCTATTCCTTTAAAACACAATGAAGGTAATTATCATTTCAATATTTGATACGAACTTTTTTTAAAAGAATTAAGTTGGACTGTTTGAAAGTGAATCAAATGTTAAATATGCCATATTAACTCCAGTACTGAGAAAGACTGAAACAAATTGATACTTTAAATAACAAAATAACTTTTCCTCACTTAACTCTTTACCTTAATCTATGTCACTTCTCCCTCTCAGAGTAAACTAAAAAATATCCACGTTTGCTATTAACATTTTAAAGTTACATGTAATCTTTTTACATTTTAAGGATGTGATGATGGTGATAATCTGGAAAGAAAATATATCTTTAACAACACTTGTGAAGGATACAATGGGGCTCTTGTCGTTAGATTTGAAGACTTTGTCTCTGAGTTTTCAATGTATAATTATTATAGTAGTCATACGCTTATCTCATTAGCTATCAAAGGTAACATATTTTGTGATTTTTAATATATATATATATATATATATTTATATAAATATATATATTTATATAAATATATATATATATATATATATATATATATATATATATATATATATATATATATATATATATATATATATATATATATATATATATTTATATAATTATATATATATATAATATATATATATATATATATATATATATATATATATATATATATATATATATATATATATATATATATATTTGAAAATAGAATTAGATTTTAATACACATCAAAGACACAACCAATTGTATGTTTTTTTTGTGTAGAGAGACTTAGCTCACAAGAAATGAGTAAAGTATGCCAAGATGTGATGCAGAAAAATTTCATGGGAGATAATTTGTCAATTAACAAGAAACAGCTGATAGATCTAAACTTAAATGATGCCATGGCGCGACTACGAAGTCTCCAATCTCTTACTAAAGTACCATTTTTACAGTTGGAAGAAATGGCAAACAGAGGCTTTTACTATGAAGGTAGCTTAATATATTTAGTGATATAGTTAGTTATAGTTGCTAGGTTTTGGTAGTTACACTTATGATATTTATGTTGTTCCAGTAGAGAGCTAGACTGCTAACCCGAGAGTCTCTAGTTTGAATCTGGGTTCGAAATCAGTGGAACGTCCCTGAGTCCACTCAGCTCTGATGGGTACCTAACATATGTTAGGGAAACAATGGCAGCTGGCCATAGTGTTGGTTACACTAACCCTTCATATGCCAAGGTCTCTGAAGCAGATGAACTCTACTTTGTCTCCCCGATGTCTCTTGGACATGAATGGGAAACGATGATGTTATTGACATTGTTTACATAATTTCAATCATCAGTGTGAAACTGAAGGATTTTATTTGCAACTGTACATAATGAATTTACATTTAACAAAAAAATAAAATTTAAAAAAAACCCACAAGAAGTGTCAAATAAAAATAAAAAGAACATAAATTACCATTCAACATGTTATATTCTATATGGGCCAGGAATTTAGTCTCAAACAAAAATTTAAGTGATTTGTAAAAAAAATATTCAAAAGGTGTATTTAAATTTTTTAACAGAATATCTGGATATAGTTTGCTGTGTCATGTGTAATAAAAGATTCAGCAACTGGGAAAATGCCCGCAGATTATTTAAATACCACAACATTCACAGTCCCTTGTGTGGCCAACAATTTGGTGGTGGTGCTTCAATTGGTTGTGCTTCATTTGGTGGTGCTTTATTTGGTGGTACTTCAATTGCTGTTGCTTCTAGTGAAGGTTCTAAGGCTGCTAGAAATTGTGAAGCTAATGCTGCTGTACAAGGATATACAGGTAGCATCTCCTCTTTAAGATATTCACTTTACTTCTACTAATTCTATTCATGTTCTTTACTTCCTATGTAAGGCATATTTGATCTGCACCATGTTTTATAAATGAAATGTCCATGTAATTTAAGTTTGGTTTATCAACGTTATTCTAAAAGTGAATAAAACTGACCCTGTCTGGTGAAAATTCATATGTAAATTTGAATCACATAGATCATAATAAATGAAATATCAATATACAAAAGTAAAAATAATTGATTTACTGTTGCATAACATTCCATTAACTAACTTAACTGCTTATGCTTCAGTAAATAGGGCTACAGATTTTCAAGTAGGTTATACTTTTTTGCTTACAGATAACAATTCTGATTTCTTCAGCACAGTTATATTTATAAAAGGACATAAGCTGAGGGGTCACCGTGATGTCACTTAAATATAGGTTTGTTGTGCATCAGCTTCTGTCTTGTATTTGTAATTTTATAGTTTGATTCTTGTACCAGTACTTTAAGAAAAATCCTTCAAAGTTACAAGGTTTATCCGAACAATGAAAGTTAATTTCTTTAAGTGAAATGGAAGTAATCATTAAATCATTAACCATGGAAAAGCAAAACTGGACTAACTAGATTTATCAATTGTTTCAAAATTCTTAACTTTGTGCAGAATAAATAAATGTCTATCATCGTAGCCTTAAAAATATAAATCTGTTTTATTCTTGTATTGCAGAGAGATGTATTTAATCATAATGGAAATATCCGAGAGTGGCGCTTCACGGAATTTTTATCTTATATATTGCGTAGCATAGGAAATTATATTTTTTAAACTGTATATTTATATATCTAATACAATAGATGTTAATCACATTCATGTACTTATTGTATTACATTTTTTTTTTTAAATGTGCATATCAACATTAAAAAATTTATCATGTTGTAGGACTTAAATGAAAAGTAAAATCCCTCAAAATGTTAATTACACTTAAGGTGTTTAGATTTCAGGCAGGTGTTTAGATTTCAGGCAAATGAGGCAATGTTTAACACTTTGCATTAAGCCATGACATAGGATTTTTTGTGGATGATCTGTAATTAAGCTTACATGTAAGATATTAAATTAGGTAGGATGCACCCAGGGAATGCCTAATTTTACATTTTAAATCCCTTTCATTACTTCTAGAATTCCATTTTATTGTCCTCCACAACCCCTGCCCCCATTTTAAACTATTATCCAACCAAAAAAAGTTTCTCCAGATTTTTCTTTCTTTTAAAAAGTAGTTTAGTTAATTATATTAGAAGAAAAATAAATAATTGAGTTTTACACATCAAAACTGAAGATACATTGTATTTCTCTAGGTGGCTTATCATTACTTATTTTTTTGAATCACCAAGTTTAATAAGTATCAATAAATTTATTTATTATTAAAATACAGTTTAAGTTGGATATTATTTTATTGCTGTGTGTTGTCTTTCTGTTATCTTAAAAACACTTTAAAATGTCCCAACAGTTTTAACTATTGTCAGTCAGTATACCACCCTGACCTCACTATTGAGTACTAGAAATAGTAAAGGTATTATTTGACTAAACTAATGAAAACTAAAGAGCTTAATATGTTGTTGCATAACAAACATCAAACTCTCTCTCTCTCTCTCTCTCTCTCTCTCTCTCTCTCTCTCTCTCTCTCTCTCTTGAAGTTCAAGCTCAAGGTTATTAATTTTAAAAATAAACTTCTGTCTTGTCTTCTATTTCTGTCCCACACACAATGCAGTAAGTAAGACCTCTGTGGCACTCAGAACAAATGCCTCAATGGAGAAAATACAGTTTGATTTGTGATATATTTTGCCTGCTGGATTTAAGACAATATTATTTACATCATGAGAAATACCACAAGAATCACACCGAACTGTATGGCCTGTTCCTGTATAACTAAAGCCAGAAGATGCAAGTTTTGTACAGTAATTATTAGTATTTGATTGTATTGGGTAAAATGTTGATAGACGAAGATGATTCCTTGTATGCAAATTTTGAACATTCTGTATAGAGATTTGTGCCATGGCTGCAGTAGTAAGCAACTTTCATCGATGAGAGTGATGCCTATTAAATGTTCTAGAAATATTTTTTTTAGCAATGAGTTAAAAAGATCTGTATTGTAAATACAGTAATATTATATATATATACATATATATATATATATATATATATATATATATATATATATATATATATATATATATATATATATATATATATATATATATATATATATATATATATATATATATATATATAAATTGGGGGTACTGCTTGTTTCCGCCAATGGTAGATGAAAAAAGCAATGTGCTTATTTCTTCTAATTGGCTTTTGATTAGATAAATGCTGAACTTATAGACCTATCCTCTTGTGGTTTAGAGGAAATAAAGGCAATGCTTATTACCTCAACTGTAACAAACATATGTCTGAGGTAAAATAAATATAGTTACAAAACACGTCTCCAGCAAAAGATGTTAATTACATTGATTCAGTTGAAGTTCTTAATCTTTGCTCAAACCAATATCATAATTATTTTCTTAGACTAATCCTAACCACAAACCTAACCTTAACGCTAACTTAGTTATAATGCATTTTTAAAATCTTGTATAATTAATGCCTGTAAATAGAAGATTAGGCCTAAATATAGATGGCTGTTGTCCAAAATAAGTGCATTGTATATTTTGTCTACTGTTGATGGGAATAATCACTTACACTAATGAGATATTGAGATAATGCCTAAATTTTAAAAAATAATATATAAAAACAATAATATTTTTTAATGAAAAGGCCATTTTTTAAATCTAAAAATATAGCACCTGGATAAAAAAAAATAGGCCTTGTTCAAAATCCTTTTCTTTTCAATTTAATACATAATTTTTTTTTCATTAAATAACAGCATTTTAATTTTGGTTCTCAATTTAATTTATCATGTATATCTAGCATGATTTTGAATTAATTAATACACAAAGAATTTAATGAAATTTTTAAGCTTCTAAGTAAAAAAAAAATAACTTCTGTAAAAAAAAAAAAATAACTTCTGTTACATAATTTATCATTATAATTAAATAAATATGTGCCCAAATAAAGTTTTAGCTTTTCCTTTCAAAAAATTTTTCGGGGGGGGGGGGGGCTTTATGCCTGGAAGAAACTCTGCTTGTAAATATTTATCTAAGATTAAAATATTCAGGTGCAAGTGCCTAGACTATTATGTACCTAAATATTAGATTAATTATAAATAGTAAAATAATTATTTACTATTAAAAACACAGTTAAATGTGAAATAGGCTATTAGAAAAAGGTAAACATTATTTATTTGACCTATCTCAATGTCATTCACACGGAAGAAGTGACATTAAATATTGGTAATTTCCAATCTTAACTGATAAGCCTATACTATAAAAAAAAAAGCCTCATAACTCCCTTTTATTAACAATGTAGTTTGTGCTGACACCATAAAGGTGTGATATTTTTGCTCAGAGTAGGATTAAATTAAATTGAAGCCATTTTTTTAAAATATAGCAACCTATGATAAAAAATTTCTCCAGGCTATGGTGCATGCCCAATAGTATTTTAAATTTGTTTCACTTTAGGAGGACATGATGGTATATTACTATATTGGCCTAATCTCAAAGGAGAGATTATTTTATTATTTATTTTGTGCGCTGTGTTTATGAAACATACACAATTATAAAAACTGGATTTTGCATTAAATTTTTACAGATTGGTCATATTTGTTGTTATTAATACTGTAACTAACAGCAATTAAAATAAAATTAAAAAAGCCAAAACCATTTGGCATTTTTTTCATTGCCACAGTAGTAAAATGTATAGGGAATTACTTAGAAAAAGGGCATAAAGTAATGGATTTAAATTTTTTAAATAATATTAAAACATTGAACAGCACAATATGAAAAAATATTCAGAAATTAAATTCCTTAATCTTAAATGCTTTTTTCAATAATTTTTTTTCACAAAGATAAAAAAATATGTAAGAGCAGTGGTATAGGCAGTGGGTTGTCAGGGGTTTGAATATGTGTGTGTATATATCAGAGGCATCGCGGATGGGGACAGACCGTACCATGTAACAACATTTAGGAGAGTCTACCCCATGGTGAAATTTTGCAAAATATATAAAAGAAATACACTTATTGTCAGTTCAATTAAGGATTAATTAAAGTTAATACTCACTAATAATATTAATAACTGACAACAGATAAATATCTTTGCTATAAACTGTGCACTGGCTGCAAAATTTACAGAGGAAAGTAAGTTTTGTTGATTATTTGGAATAAATGATAAGTCAATCAATGACCGGTTGGGGTGAACTAGAATCTTATAATTTACAATGAAAACGATGATTTTTTTCCACTTGAATTAATAGTTTGATTAATATAAAATTGGCGCCATTAGGCAAAATGGGTGTGGGGTGACACCAATTGCAACAATATGTAGGCCTATGTAGACATATATATATATATATAAATATATATATATAAATATATATATATATATATATATATATATATATATATATATATATATATATATATATATATATATATATATATATATATATGTATATATATATGTATATATATATATATATATATATATATATATATATATATATATATATATATATATATATATATATATATATATATATATATATATATGTATATGTATATATATATGTATATATATATATATTGAACCCTTTCACCATGATTTATTCCTGCAGGTTTGCCAGAAGTTATAACTGCTTGTTTACTAATATTTAATTCCCATAGTTATTGATTAGTAATGAAAATTATATAGCATGATTGGTTGAACGCAAGTTTGACTAAAATAACTTTATTTGGTTTAAAGATGTTGTAGTACAAGTACGTTAAATACATTTTGCTTAAGTTACAAAATACAATGTTGGAAAACTAAGTCTTAAAAAGTACATTGTTTTAATTTCGCTTTCTTTTTGACCAAAGAGCTTTAAAATATATGAACAATTGTAGTATAGGAAAACATTGCATATAAAAAAAAATCTTTGTTTATTTTAAAGAAATACTGGTTTACAAATTACTTATCTAGATGTCACCATTTCTTTCCTATTTGTTAATTGCTAAAAAAAAGTACATTCAGTTTATATAGAGTATCTCTTCATATTTGAATAGCTGAAAATAGGGAATAATTTATAAAATTACAAGTGCTAAAGTTTACTTTAAAAAATCTATATCAGACATTAAAATCTTTGTATGAAAATAATAACAATGGAAATTATCATGGTGTTTTCTCCATTTCTAGACGTAAAGCTAACTACGCAGTAAACCTACTTTTGAGTATAGTAAAACTGTAGCACATTGAACAGTATATTATTCATTTAAATGAAAATTGAAAAACATCTGAGCATCAATTCACTAAAATGTAGTTGTTTTTTTTATTAATATTGTTTCTACAACTCATCTGATAATAGCATTATCATAATACATATAAATAAATCAGAGTTTCAGTGTGTACACAATATCCCACAACTAGGACTTGCAAACCAAATAAAGTATTTTAAACAACTAAATATTGAGTATTTATTATAAAACAGTGAAATAGTTGATATATGAAAACAATGACTTATTATGAAAGAGTTCAGATATTTTCTACATTTTTACAAGCAAAAACCTGCTCCAAAACTAAAGCTTTTTTTTGTTTAGAAGAAATACCAAATGACATCTTTCATAGATGTCATTTAGTATGGCTTCTAAATAAACAAAATCTTTAGTTTATGTAGAAAATAGCTCAACCCTCCCACTCTGGAAAATCAGCATATATTTAAAAATAGAGTAAATTAATAATCTTCTTATTAATTAAATAAATTATTTTAAAAATTATTTTTAACAGTACTTGTGTGTGAAAAAATAGACTAATTTGATACACATGGTCTAAATATAAGATTTTTTTCTATGGCTGTTTCAAAAAAATTAGAATTAGGCCTACTATTCTTGTATATTTGCTTGATTTTCCATTAACGGACTTGGGACCGTTTAGTGTGGTTGAAATGTAGAACAACAATTTATCATAAACTGTCAGAACATATAAGATTACATCAACACTTAGACTACTGATTTGTTATATACATATATTATTAGGGTTTTTGTATTCAGTTGAAGAATCATCCCTAATAACTATACATATAGGACAAAATCAATGGTCCAGACAGTTTTGATATTAAACTTAAGAATACACAAGTCTTTAAAAAATAATAAGCATAAAAAATGTTAAAAATCAATTCAATTCCTGCTGTACTTTGCTTTGAAGTGTGAAAGATGTGTCTTGAACATCTGGAGAAAAAAAAATGTAAGATAAGCATAAAGAAATGCTTTCAAAATATAATGATTTTTTTTTTACTTTTCTAAAATTTATATTTAAATTAAAAAAAAACACAACTACTCACAAACATACAATAGACAACACACAAATAGACAACATACACTTGCTCTGCCTTTAAATTATTTATTTGAGCACCTATTCATGTTTCAAAATTTTAATTATAATGCTAATTGAGATTTAGATTCTATCTATTTCTAGGTTGTTCAAATTAACAGGTCTTACATCACTTTTTTTTGTATTTTTACAATCACTGCTTTTTTTAAATTTTGACAACTTTAACTGCTAGTATTGCTAACTATATCTAAAATATAGTAGGCCTTATACTGCAGCTAAAACCTTTTTATTTTCTTGTTATTATGGGAAAAAAATTTCACTTCATACCAGCATGGAATAATAACGTCCATTGTGTTGTCTACTTTAGTGTTACAATCAGGGCATGTTGTAACAGAACTTTCACATTCCTTGCAGATGAGATGACCACAAGGGGACATTAACACATTGCTCTCATTCTTTCTGCAGTTTTTGCAATGTAATTTCTTATGAAGTTTTCTATTCTCCTCCATTACTACTGTCAGTCAAAAAATCAAAAGCATTTTAATGATTAATTATTTATTAATATAATACCATAATGTAAGAGGGCCTAATAAAAATAATTAAATAATGCTGTATGCCTACAAAAACAATCCTTTATGTACACCTAGTAGTTTAACCTACAATGAGACACTTCACTACTAAATTTTTATCATGTTAATTCTAAACTTGCCTAATTTTTCCTAGGAAATCAAGTTACCTTCAAATTCTGTTTCTTCAGTAACAAGTGCCATCTTTGTTTCGCTTGGTTTATCGGATGTCTCAGCTATAAAATGTTTAAAAATGAAAAAAACCAATGTGTGCAATTTACAGATTTACATTAAATCAAAGGGACTATGAAAAATACAGATTAAATCTGTCTAGATGTATCAATTAAGTTGATTATATGCCTAAGTATATATATATATATATATATATATATATATATATATATATATATATATATATATATATATATATATATATATATATATATATATATATATATATATATATATATATATATATATATATACACACACACAAAATATATTAAACAAATAATATCAAATACCCTCAGGCTTTTCTTTGACACTGGTATTATCCAGTAAGTTATTTTTCTCCTCACAATGTAACACAAGTTTGTTCGAAAGTCGAAAAGGAGAAAGGCTTGTAAGTTACTGTGTAGATCTAGCTGTAACATAATAACATAAACATGTAGATTCTAGATCTATTTCATTAATAATATAATTATGCTTTATAAAATTTTGAACTTGATATAATGCAGATAAATAGTATATAGTATATAGATCTAGATCTATTTATACAATCCTTGTAGTTTGTATTGTAGGCTATAAATTATATATTCTACACATCTTACACAAAGCTCAAAGCACTCTAAGATGTTGAAATCAACCAAGTAAATATAGAATCTAGATCTAGATGTTAACTGTGTTCTACTTCCTTGTTGGTTAGGTATGCTGTTCCTCAGTCTTTCGTCAGAAATGGGAATTCCCATTCTAAATATTGAATTTATCATTTCTTAAGTAACTGGCCGTTGCCTTTATGGTTTATTGTAAAGTACATTTTTTTTAACTGATGAATAAAAATAATAAAATTTTATAAGGTAGCAAATTATATTATTATTGGTTTGAAAGCGACTCACATTGTAATAAAACTGAAACAAATATTTTAGCGGATATTGATTATCCTTCGGGAATTTCAAAAGTTAAAGGATGTCCATAATAACTTCTACCTGTTTTCAGTTTCATTTTTTTTTCCTTTTATTTGTATATGTGGGCCTTAGCAGTTTTAGAAAGATATTGAGTTATAATCTACTACGAGTGTAGTTGGACACATCTGAGATTGGGGTGAGGGTATAATTTAGTATAAAGAACTATGACTATTTGTGATGGTAAAAGGACCTATTTGACCATGGAAATTGCAATGTTTTTTATAAGCTATACGGCGCAGGGCTGCTTTACAACTCATGCACCATCCTACATCACACACTTGTTTGCAGAGTTTCTTCCAGACATCTCTTCGGGGGGGGGGGGGGGAAGAAGAGTCTACCGCCTCCCCCCCCCCCCCCAACGAAAAAAAAATTATATAGAAAAATATATGTGGTGATGTGTATGAAAGGTGTGTACGTGAGACGGATCACTGCGTGTGTGTACACCGTAGTATTGTAGTATGTTGCTACTGTACGTAGTGAGCAAAGGTAAAAAGGGAAAAGACTGGTCGAGTCTCAGCGAGTATGTTGCGAGCGTGAGTAAGGATGTGATTAGCGGTGAATGTGGATGGCAGTTGAAGGTTAGAGTGCGGACGAGAAGGTCGCTGGGTGGCTGAGAAAAAAATTGAGATTAAGCCTTTAATTTTTTTTAAAAACTATAAATAGAAACATGAAGGAGTTAAAACGTTTGAAAAGATGTATTGTTTCGACAGGAGTAATGGCTACGAGAGAGAGAGAGAGAGAGAGAGAGAGAGAGAGAGAGAGAGAGAGAGAGAAATTGGACCAATAGGTGAAAAGTAAGACTATAAATGAGAGCAAAGAAAAGAGGGATAGATGTAACAAGAGGGAAAAAGAAAAGATGGAGTTAGAGAAGTAGAAGCAAACTGAATGACACAATAAAGATAGAAAAAGAAAAATTGAAGCATAGGCAAAAATAGAAGTAAAGGGGTGAAATTGGAAGCACCAATCGAATTCGAAAGGAAGAAACAGGAGCACAAATTTGAACAAGAAAGGCAGAAATTCAATGTAGCACGCATGAACGTGTGAAAGGCACACTACAAAACATCTTGTGAAAGATGACAAAATTTCATGAGGAGAGTGAAAACAGATGATATATCAGACGATTTAATTTCTTAACTTTGTGTGCATTTCGTAGATCGCCTCTTAAATTCTAGTAAGGGTATCAATACAAAATATTATATCGACCATCCTTTTCTTTTAGTTATTGAAAAATTAGATCATTATTAAATATTTGCAGAAAATCATTTACTTTCTCCTTTATAGTGCATTATTACGTTTTTTTATGCATTTTTAAAATATTAATAGTCTTCATTTTTCATTGAGTCTGTTGTGTGCACATTTATCTTATGGGAATGGGGATTTAATTATGTACGTTTTATATATCTAATATAATTGTTTTCTTTTCTCTATCGGTCAGCTCGAACTAAATGAGCGTGGTCAGAGTTTCTTCCAGGCATCTTTTGGGGAGGGGGGGGGGGCGAGCCCCTTCCCCCTCTCCCCGAAGGACGTCTACCGCCGCCCCCCTCCCCACCCGAACGAAATGGAATTAATATAGAAAATATATACTTTTACCAGTCCGCCCCCCCCCCCACCCCAAAAATTTTGAGTGTCCCCCTCTCCCCCCCCCCCTTCAGCTATTGTCTTTTTTTTAATTTATACCTTCCGTAACATTTTTAAAATGTTTAGTTTTTAACCTGTATTTTTGACAAAATTCTGCTAAATTACGCAGTTGTGTTTTTTTTTTATTTTTAATGAAGATTAGAATACTTGAATTTGTTATTTCCAATGCAATTATCCTGCAAATTGTCGTTCTCGTGAAATCGTATAAAATGTGTTTAATGCTCAAAGCTTGCGAGAAGCATGGATCACAATGACTTTTATATCAGTATATTGTGTACACTAGCCGTCAGTACACGTTTCACGTGAACTATATGCCTATATATTGTTACTGTTATACTTATTTGGAAAAAAATAATTATAAATTAGTTATTGGTCAAAAAGCTATGTTCTTTACCACACGTTGAACGATATTAGTGACAAAGCAAAGAAATAACTAAATAGATAAAAATCCGACACTTTAAAAATAGCATAGGCTACCAATACCAATTAGAAAAATGAAAACTAAATTATATACTTTATTAGTCAACACAGCACCATATTAAATGCACATACTCATTAAGAGACTTAAATGATTTCGTTAAAAACCCGGCTGTTCAATGGTCATTATATTGATTTTTAAAGTGATTTGTTTTAGTTTGACCTAGAAAATTGTATAAATCTCATAGCGTACGTCTTGATACTTACATCTATAAAATCTAGATTTAAATAAAATTTGAATGAAATAGTTCATTTCTTCATATTCTAAAAGTTAAAGATGACGCCATTGGTGTTGTGTTTCCGTAGAATGTGGCATGTGACGTCATTGTTTATTGCGTTCTTGTCACAACCATAAACACCTTTCCGGATGCATAATTAAAATGTGATTCTGCATTCGAATATTGCTTTATTTTTATTTTCTTTGTTTATAAAAATTAAGTTTATAGATAAAAAATATCCACCATATTATTTTCAACAAAAGCCGTATCATTATGTTCTCCGTATATCGCTGAAGTTACTGATCCCTTAGGCTTGGGGCATGCGGACAGAGAGAGAGAGAGAGAGAGAGAGTGAGTGAGAGAGAGAAGTGCGAACATGAGCCTTTATATATTAATATGTATTCTGTATTATATTGTTCTGTTGTAACGTTTTTTCTCATTCTGTCTCTCTGCAGACTGACCAATAGTATAAAACTTGAACATATATATGGTTTCTACCCAAGTATATTTGGAACGCGTTGTTAATTAAAACTTGATTAAATACCCATCGAAAATTTTTTAAAGTATCAAAAAGTAAATAAATAAAATGACATCGCAAATTGCATTTTAAATTGAGTATATGGAGCGAGAACATAACAATGTAGTACAATATAGTAGTAGTACAATGTAGTTCTTTTTTATTTCTGTACAGTTTAAAATATCCTTTTTAAATATATTTGAGCTGTTTGCACTTCTTATGGTACTAGACCGCTACGGCTTGGCTCCCAGGAAACAACTGTGAGAAAAGGTCAAACGCTTTTCAAATTTTATTTGGTTTCAATCGTTTTTCTGTACAACGACATATTCTCTTGATAATTTCGGGATGTCCTACGTTTATCAAATGTGATTTGGCATCGATTTTGTTTTTCTAGAAATATTAAAAACCCCACTTATTTTATCATTTGCATCAAAAGCAATGTTTAATGCTGGAAATCGTCATCTTCCTTTTATTTCAACATTTAAACTTTTAAAACTCACAACCTCGTCTACTGTATGATAACAGTATGAAAAGCTAATTTGTCTTTACAGCTATAGCTACAGCGGGATATGATATGTAGTGAATATTTAACTTAAAGTGGTACATGTGTGCTGTAACAAACAGAGAGGTAAAATTATTTGTGAATAGTATTTATGGCAGATAATATCACTCTATTCAAAAACTTGATTATAAATTCTTATTTAATAATTAAAATGTTTCATTGTTTCAGTCGATAACTCCCAATCCCTTAATATAACAATTCTTAAGGCTGAAGCAGTGGACAGGTGGGTCGATATTTTTTATGCTCCAGGTGAATGTCGTCTCCAGGTTTCCAGGACTTGAGGCCAAGGCCGCACTGGTAGCATCGAACACAGTCAGCGTAACCTGTCAATCAAGTAAAACGTGTATATTTTTTAAAATCTGCTAACGAATGACACATTTCAAAAGTGTTCTAAAATGTCACATTTTGACCGTCTAATACAACATGTCAAATTTTGAGATTCTACTGAAACATGTCACATTTCAAAAGTCTGCTAAAACATGTCACATTTAAATTATCTTCAAACGTATCAATCGCATCCTTTATAAATTTCCCTCCATCTCTGTCCCATTCCTTTTGGCCCTCGTACCTGTAAAATAAACTGTCGTAAACAAGAATTACCAGCATAGAAAAATCCCGCTGTGGCCAGCTGACTTGGTGTGTGAACGTGTTTAGCAGTCCAAGCAGTAAAACTCTCCAGCCTCTTCTGGAAGGAAAGGTACATGGGGTACGATGGGTGTGTGCGTTGGTGTGTGGTGCCAGGAGTTTGTGTGGGCCGCAAGCCGTTTTCTTCATAGGCAGTGCAGAGTTTTTCCTCACAGGTTCCTATGACAAAAATATAATCTTCATATAACACACATATCCTGTTAGCGTATAGGGATGTTATGTTTTTATGTGGCCTATATTTGAAATACATTATAACAAGAAAAACATTTCAAAATAAATTAGTCAAAATCCTTCGGGCTATCGGTAACATTTTTTAGCACTTTTTTCTTTTCGAAATCCCCCCCCCCCCCAATATCGCCCAAAACACCCCTTCATCGTCACTCTTCATCTCAATACACCACCCTAAAATGACGTTTAGCTTACCCTTCTCCCCTCCCCCCCCCCCCCCCCAAAAAAAAAGATGCCTGTAAGAAACTCTGCAAGTACTTCTAAGAATGCTACGTCATTTTTGAACGTCCCCAACAAACTGTTTTTGTTCGTACATTGAAAATTGAACGTACAGTAGATTTATTTTGTCGTACCTGAGGTTGGGGCACCAGATTCGTGACGTGACCCAGGTAAGGATCTCTCTGACCGATCTAGGTTGGAAGCGCATGCTTCATGGCTCTCATGCTGGTGGGTGGAAGTTTGGTGCACTATGCCAATGACTTCAGTGGAATCTCTATTTGAACCGGCGTTGTTTGGGAGGGAGTACACACAGCACGTATTGTGGTACCTGCTGTCTCTAGGATCAGATCGGAACTCGGATATCTCTAGAACATTCTGACAACCCTGACACGTGACCCTGGAGCTGGATGGGTTGTAGTAAAAACCTGCATCGGACAAATGTGTGAAGTACACCTGGTTAGCCGTGAGGTCAGACCGGGCGTGTTTGAACGAGGCGAGTCTGTACATGGGAGACTCGTACAACATCGGGTACACACACAGTCTCGTTTGTGTCATCACGCGCAGATTAAACAACCAATCAAATCTACTGTAGCTGCACTCGTCACATTCATCATCCAACTTGACGCTTGACTTGTGATGAATTCGCTGTTTTGTAGTATCGTAATTAAAGCAGACGTTTTCATTACATTTGATTACGAGACGGAATTTATCTTTTATAAATTTGGAATGGTTCCCAAGTAACTTGTGTACTAGTACAAGGATAAAGAAAATAAGGCAAATAAAACATGATAGCATTTTACATTAGTTCCAGTGATCAGCTCGACTCAAATGAGAAAATATTCTACAGCTTGTTCTGCTTTGGAAAAGCACACACCCAAAAGAAATTCGCTCCAACGTTGTGTCAATATCCTCTTCTTGTGTATTATCTGGTTTTTTTTTTTTTTTTTTGCTCGATGCTGGAACAAATAAACAAGCATTGGGCTCTTAGTATAGTGTTATAATCTATTCGGTCCTTGGATATTGAAACTAATAAATAGGCATAGGACTTAAAGTGTTATAAATATAATAGACACAGTTCTTCTATACTGAAACGTATAGGCCACGGTTCTCAATCTTAGATATGGAAAGACAATTAAGTTTAACAAATTTTGCTTTGTTCACCACCCTCCCCACTTTTTTTACCTGAGGCTTCTATCTCACTTCTCCCCCCCCCCCCCGGAATAATTCCAAGGCATCACTTTGGTAACCACTGTATGAAATTGCGTCGCTACGTCGGGTATCACCCGGTGCGACACTTCGTGATGTCAACCCCCCCCCCCCCCCCAAAGAAACAAAGTATATATAACCCTATATATATATATATATATATATATATATATATATATATATATATATATATATATATATATATATATATATATATATATATATATATATATATATATATATATATATATATATATATATATATATATATATATATATATATATATATATATGTGTGTGTGTGTGTGTGTTTTTGTCGGCCTACATGGGTCTATAATTTAAATATATGCCGCGTACCCGTACATGTATGCGCATGAGCTTTAATCACGGCAAACTTAATAGTATTAATGTTTATCTATAGTCTGTTAATAATACAGTTGGATGTAGCATTGTTTTCTCTATAGTTTGCACGTTTACGTCATAATGTCGGCTACATCCTCTTGTAATAATTGTTGGTTTGTACTTAAAAGATCATTTAACTTTAATTAAGGGGGAAGGCTCCGGTAAAAAAAACTTTTTTAATACTCGTTAGAAAACAGTTATTTCTATACAGCTTTATTAAGATACATCCGCAAATGCATTTCCACTAAAAAAAATTGGTGAAAAAATCTTGGTAACTATGACAACGGCGGCCATCTTGAAAAATTAACCCCTTCGTAGGTTTTCCACCATTCATAAAATATTACATTTTAAGCCCAATAAACAATTAATTCATAATCTTCTTCCATATTTTGGGGTAATCAGCTAAAAATTTTAAGTGCATATCTTCAAACTAATTTTTTATGAATTTTCAAAATTTGTGTCCGTTCAAAACACTAGTTTTAATGCCCCAAAATTCCCCAAAGTTAAGTGTTTTGAACGGACACAAATTTTGAAAATTCATAAAAAATTAGTTTGAAGATATGCACTTAAAATTTTTAGCTGATTACCCCAAAATATGGAAGAAGATTATGAATTAATTGTTTATTGGGCTTAAAATGTAATATTTTATGAATGGTGGAAAACCTACGAAGGGGTTAATTTTTCAAGATGGCCGCCGTTGTCATAGTTACCAAGATTTTTTCACCAATTTTTTTTAGTGGAAATGCATATGCGGATGTATCTTAATAAAGCTGTATAGAAATAACTGTTTTCTAACGAGTATTAAAAAAGTTTTTTTTTACCGGAGCCTTCCCCCTTAATCATCAATGGAACTGGCAAAAAGCATTTTTCCTTCTATGTATTTCGCAATTTTTTGTCATGGTGTCACACACCCCCTTAAATGGTATCACCCGATGCGGTCCGCACCCAGTGTTTCTTCCAGACTTTTTTCTCTGGGGGTGCACTTGAAATTTTTTGGGGGGCGGACAACAATTTCCGGGGGGGGGGGGGCGGACACTGTCAAAAGTATATATTTTCTATATAAATTCCATTTCGTTCTGGGGGCGGTAGACTTTCTTCGGGGGGCACCGCCCCCCCCCAAGAGATGCCTGAAAGAAACTCTGTCCGCACCCCCCCCCCCGCCCCGCCCTTGCTACGCCTCTGACTGTATGCTAATATGACATTTTTTCTTGTTGTATTTCAACATCGTATTATAAGGTCAGGGTCACAATATCTAAGAGTGAACTTCAGTAGAATTTAAAAACAAAAAACAAACCATAAATAGATTTAAATATTAAAAACTTGACGAAATAAAAAAAAAGAAACTAGCTAAAAACCTTGTATTATTATACTCGTCGAAAACTTTATGTTAATCTTCGAGCACAAAGTTGGGATGTTACCAGTCGGTACAGAAGAAACAGAATGATGTAAAATTGAAGGACACCTCATTCTATCTGGCGATACCCATTACTAGCCATGATAATGTCGGGAAAACGCAATTACAAAATAGGCTGAATATAGAATGTAACCCTGTTAAAATAAATACTCAAGTTCAAGCAATAAAGTTTTTGGTTAAAAAACTAAATAATCGTAAAAATCTTTCAGCCTGTTTTTCAAAGTTTTACATAAATCTTTGGTTATAAACTTAATATAAAAGCTCCATTTGAAATATTAAGCAGTATTTATTTGAGCAACTAGATCTATATGCTGAATTTAGCCACTGTTAGTTAGCTCATGTTTAGCTTGTGTTGTCTAGTGGGGCAGGGGTTTCCCTTTGTGTACAAACGTGACGTGGAACCTACTGCTGAGATAGCGGAAATTCCTAGTTACGTGGCGCTAATTCTATAAAGGTAGGGTTAGGATATATCAACTTACGTGGCGCTAATTCTATAAATAGGATAGTGTTAAGATACATTGAAGGGTTTAAAAAAATAAAGATGGGGCCAGTTGCCAGTTGTAGGTTTGACGATTGACACTAACAAAAAAAACCTGGCATTCTTTGCATATATAAAACAAAATTGACCTACTTATTTACTTACAGTGGGCATTACAAATAAATATTGGGCTACTAATATTTTCGCACTGTTAAATGCGGTAGGCTACTAGCTAGCCCTTAAGGGGTCATCCATAAATGACGTCACGTTTTTAAAACGATTTTACCCCCCCCCCCCTCTCCCCTCCGTCAGACATCGCCATAAAAAAAGCAAGACCTCCCAACCCTAAAAGGACGTCACACATCAGCCTATTACCCCTCTCAAAACTGCAGATGAATTTTTTTAAAACATCGATTCTTTTCTAAATTATTGACTTAGATCGGTAAACATATAGTATTTAAAAATTTATATTACAATTTATTAAAGCTATTTCTAAAATTCAAAATAACGGCTAAAATTTAGCTTCTAACATTACTTTTTTTTAAAAATGCATTTGTATGACGTCACATTATCTGACCACCCCACCCCCTCATACAACACACAGTCATAATTTTTAAAATAAATTGCATTAAAATGAACGTACTTACTAGGAATCTTGTACGGGACCGAATTGAATAAACAAGTAGCAACCATTAAAGACCTTCATTTAAATACAGTGAAACCAAAGGAACATATACATATATACACAAAAAAGATTAAAATGCTTTTCGAAATTAATCTTTAATTTACTTTATTTAGTAGAACAACTTTAATCAATAACGGTTTTAAAAACATAAAATTGATGTTTTATAACATTCAATGTTTTGAAACTGACACATCGGATAGAGACACAGTCGCGCCACTAGCTGTAACTTAACTTGAGACATCTGTTATTTTAGGGCCTATAATCGGTTATAATCCATTCCCCCACACCCAACCCCACACCAATATCTTCTCATGCCACTGAGTACATTGTTCTCATATTCCAATATCAAGACCCTGATATTATGCAAACAACTCGGCAGGTTAGATCATGTTTTTAATGATTGTAAGGCACTTACGAACATTATTAACACATGGTATATTTAAAGGGAATTATCATATACAATTTAAAAAATTGATTGCATTGGAGATCTAAAGGTTAGTTGTGCGATGTTTCTGTCTCCTCCTGGGGTCTATTATAAAGAGTGAGAGTAACTCTAAAGCTTCTTCTTCTTCTTCGTCTTAATTATTAGTGTTAATGGGGATCGAGATTTATCTGCCAGTGGGTTTGAACTCGAGACTTCGTTCAAATTTATCAACCATTAGCTTTTTTGCCGACTCGACCACGCCTCCAACACAATTAAGCGTTACGTGTCAACTGGTTATGCGCCATTGACTCCGATTTCAGCCTGCTTTTCTTTTTGGATTTGCTTCCATAGCCTTTGTCCAGCCAAGAGCAAACTACAAGGCAGCAGTTGTTTAATTTTGGAGTTGTCTCTCCTAGAAGAGTGGCTGTCCCCAGCTAACGAGCCTCATCTGTCCGAGGCCATTGACTCCGATTTCAGCCTGCTTTTCTTTTTGGATTTGCTTCCATAGCCTTTGTCCAGCCAAGAGCAAACTACAAGGCAGCAGTTGTTTAATTTTGGAGTTGTCTCTCCTAACGAGCCTCATCTGTCCGAGGGTTCGAACTCGTGGCTTTTCGGTTTAGCAACCATGAGCTTTACCGACTCGACCACGCCGACCCACTCTAAAGCTAAATAGATAAGTTTTAAATTAACATTTTGCGATCAAAGCACACAATACTAATAAACATAACCATCCTGCATAGTCATGAAATAATCTGAAACAAATTAAAAGTCTACATCTTTACAATACGTGGTATCCACTTAAAAAGGTTTAAATATGTCAAAAATACCATATAAGGTTGTCAGAAAATTTGTAAAAAGGACACATGAAATATTTAGCTTCAATCTGGAAGATTTTTTAACTGTTGAAACTAAAAAATAAGTCTACTGTAAACATCCAATAAACAACACTATTGTTAAAAGAATCAATTGCTTTAAGCAGTTTCACATAATACATAGACATACACGTTGACATACAGGAATCAAACTAAAGAATGTTTCGTGTGGAATGTCTGACTGACTCTGACTAAATTTTAAAGACCAACAATATCAATATTTTTGACAACTTAGCACTTTCAAATGCTACAGAGATATGTGTCATTAAAATAGTTCCAACCACTTTAAACACAGGAGTATCACTTTGCTACAGGCAGGACATACTTTCAAATCTCTGGAACATTGCTTACAAGCATACTGGTGGTCACATGGTTCAAACTTGATGCTGATTGGTTCTTTTTTTTTAAACCACAGCGTCATAAGGTTTGCTTAGCTATTCTGTTATTGTTCCCACGTTGAACACTATCGTCTTCTGTTGGCACAGTAGCGTAGACCTTAGGGGGCGCCAAAATGGGTTGGAAAAATAAATTGGTTGAGGGGGTGCAAATCGACAGTATGAGGGGGGGGGGGTGCAAATCGAAATATTGTGGGGGGTGCAAATCGAAAAGTTTGTCCCCGGGCGCCGGGAAAGGTCGCTACGCCTCTGTGTTGGTATAGGACTAGAGCCGGAAAAAATGTGTAAAATAACAACGTCACAAGAAAGGGCTGTTGTCGCCAATAAGTGACATCAATTAGGGGACGACACTAAATATAGAAATAATATTAATAATATATCTAATCCAGAGATAACTAAAAAAGACTAGACATATATGAAAATTGAAAAACACAACATATTTGTTAAACCAGTAAATAATCTTTAAAACCTAAAACCAGAGAATCACTAACCAATATTCACACCTGCATTCAACGAATCAGAATGGAAAAGCAGATGGAAACCATTTCTGGAAGAGGAGTCTCTATAAATTCTTCCACTTTCAATAAGCAGTGTAAACTGCACTTGTTGATTCAATTTATTCAATTTATTCAAAAACGGTAACAATAGTAAGCACGGGGGCCTATTTTTACACTGGAAGTTTTAAAATAAACAAACAAAACAACAATTTAATAACAGCATTGATCTTACTAAACTTTCTCGAATATTCTTATATAACTTGGAATATAGACATGATTATATAATTACTTAAACTTTTTTTAAAAATTCATAAAAAACGTTTTAATAACAAGCTTTTATGTACTAATGCACTAAAAAGTCGAAAATAAATTATACACTACTATTTAAATTACTATAAAGAAAAGCGTGGGTCACTTTAGTACTTTAGTACCTATCGGGACATCGCCCTACCGCCTGGTACCCAGCTTGATCGTGGGGGGCGTTCGGCCATTCTTTGAACCTAGCTCATACAGCAGTTCTACTCGGCCAGATCAAAAACCTCTAGCTGCTGTTGGCTACCACTAGCCATTCCGCACCCATTAGGGGGGGTCATGAGCTTGGTCCGACTAGTGGCACTCTTCCGAAGCCACGTGAAGGCTGCAGCTTAAAGTCAAGATATCTGGTTAGGGTCGAGAGAAAAACCTTCTTGGTTCGCGGCAGTCTTGCACCTCTCCTCCCCCACGCTATTATGTAGGGGACTTGGGAGTCCGACGTACCAGGCTCTTCGGAAGACATGCCTGCTAATTTGGTCCAAATTTTAATTAATGCATAAAAAATTAATTAGGCATCCAATTAAGTCAAATTTAATTTCAGATTGCATTGTCTTCATGTCTTGACCCATGTGCCAACTGTGAATCGTATCGGTCAAGTAGAACTGTCCGAATTTTCGCTCCGGCGTTTCGATCTAGACTGACGACAGACTGTCGACAGACTGTCGACAGAGGAAGTGAGTTAAATAAAAGCTTGTAAAAAAATCATAAAAAACGTTTTAATAACAAGCTTTTATGTAATGATGCACTAAAAAGTAGAAAATAAATTATACACTACTATTTAAATTACTATAAAGAAAAGCGTGGGTCACTTTAGTACCTATTGGATACCTTTACTAATATTTGAGAAGACACCCACGCTTTTCTATATAGTAATTTAAATAGTAGTGTATAATTTATTTTCTACTTTTTAGTGCATCATTACATAAAAGCTTGTTATTAAAACGTTTTTTATGAATTTTTTTTCAGTACTTTATATGTTTTATTTACAATAGTGTTACATGACTAAAAACCATTGCGCGTCTATTGAACGTGATTGCGCAGCTATTAAACCTGATGGCGCATCTATTGAACGTGATGACGCGTGTGGTGTGGTTGGATAGACATGCCTACTAATTCGGTCCAAATTTTAATTAATTCATAAAAAATTAATTAGGCATCCAATTAAGTCAAATTTAGTTTCAGATTGCATTGTCTTCATGTCTTGACCCACGTGCCAAATTTGAATCGTATCGGTCAAGTAGAACTGTCCGAATTTTCACTCCTGCGTTTCGATCTAGACTGACGACAGACCGACGACAGAGGAAGTGAGTTAAATAAAAGCTTGTAAAAAAAATTCATAAAAAACGTTTTAATAACAAGCTTTTATGTACTAATGCACTAAAAAGTAGAAAATAAATTATATACTACTATTTAAATTACTATAAATAAAAGCGTGGGTCACTTTAGTACTTTGGTACCTATTGGATTACTTTACTAATATTTGAAAAGAGACCCACGCTTTTCTTTATAGTTATTTAAATAGTAGAGTATAATTTATTTTCTACTTTTTAGTGCATTAGTACATAAAAGCTTGTTATTAAAACGTTTTTTATGAATTTTTTTTCAGTACTTTACATGTTTTATTTACAATAGTGTTACATGACTAAAAACCATTTCGCAGCTATTGAACCTGATGGCGCAGCTATTGAACGTGATGACGCGTGTGGTGTGGTTGGATAGACATGCCTACTAATTCGGTCCAAATTTTAATTAATTCATAAAAAATTAATTAGGCATCCAATTAAGTCAAATTTAGTTTCAGATTGCATTGTCTTCATGTCTTGACCCACGTGCCAACTGTGAATCGTATCGGTCAAGTAGAACTGTCCGAATTTTCACTCCGGCGTTTCGATCTAGACAGACAGACAGAGGAAGTGAGTTAAATAAAAGCTTGTAAAAATAGAATAGAATCTCATAGAAAAAGAATTGCTCACCAAGCGAACGCCAAAACAAAATGTGCATAATAGTGCGCAATATTATTATTACTTTATAAATTTACATGCGTTTTTTCAGAAATCGGAAATAGCGTAAATTAGTACTTCTGGTCAACGGAAATTACTCAAAATTTGACAGAAGGTAAGAAATTAGATTTTTTACTTACGTGTGAAATTTCATTTATCTATCTGAAATAGTACTCAAGTTATAGGCTTTTGAAAAATTTAAAGTAGAAAAAGTACCACTTCCGGTTATCGGAAATCGCTCAAAAGTTGAACAGGATCTACGATTTTGATAAAATACCTATATATGAAATGTCATTAACCTAGCTGTAACGGTACTCAAGTTATCGTGTTTACACACAGACAGACAGACACACACACATACAGAGACACAGACATACGGACAAGATTGCAAAATTATGTTTTTCTTTATCAGTGAGATGTAAAACGTCGAGATTTGTAAGTAAAAATCTCGATTTTTTGTTGTTGCATGATTACAAGACTTTCTCTATAGGCCTACTTCGTATATACGAGAATGTAAAAAAAGCAATTGCGTAGTAAAGACATAGCAGTAACATAGCACTAAAAATGTGGAATAAAGAAATAATATTACATTGTTATTATACAAAATGAAATAAAATAAGAATATAATAGATGAATGAGAAATGTTGCAAGGAGTCAGTTAGAGAGGTAATTAAATAATTGTTGTTTTAGTTTAGTTTTGAATTTATTTTCAGAAATAGTTTTATTTTATTATGAAGATCGTTCCACAAATTAGAACCAGAGTAGGCGAAGCTATGTTTTTGGAAAAAAAAAGTTGTATATGGGATCGGTAAACTAAGACGACGATTTAATTTTGTGTTAAAAGAAAGTAGGTCTGATAAGTAAGAGGGGACTGTTTCGTTTAATATATTATATAAAAAATTGTTTGATTCAGTCCTATTTGCCAGAATTTGCATTAAAATACACGTCTAATATGCCAGAATTATAAGCTAAATACCCGTCTAATATGCCAGAATTTGCAGATAAATACCCGTCTAGTATGCCTAAATATGCATATTAACATAAACTTATAGAGATATGTTTTTAATAATTAAAAAGTTGTGAGAATTTTTGTATATTATACCTATTATAAACAAAAATAAGTATCTTAATAGTTGTTTAAATAGTTGATATACGTTTCCTATAGCCCAAAAGTAGAAATACATAAGAAAATAATATATTGATTGAAGTATAGAATGTAGTTTTAGCTGTTTTAGCGTTCCTAGTATGAATGCGCAGCTTGTTCTTTGATTCTCAGAAACGGGCAGTAAGGTCTAAACTTTTTATGTTGTTCATGGATGTCATCTCCAGGTCTCCATGACTTTAGACCCAGTCCACACTGGTAACATCGGACACAGTCAGCATAACCTGCAAGTTTATATTACTATTGAGCTAAGACTTATAATTTACAATATAATATTAGACTTAGCTAAAAAAAAATTATTCGAAAATTATTTTTTTACCCACATATTTTTACTCCCGAGTTACACTTTATCCTATACGTTATAATATTCTCTTTATGCTTATGTCTATAGTCTATGTTTTCTGAATAAATACCAGCATAAAAGAATCCAGCAGCGGCCAGATCAGCAGGTTGATGGATGTGCGTGGGGGGCCACAGAGTGAAGCTCTCCATCCTTTTTTTAAAAGCGATGTAAACAGGGTTTGACGGGAGACTATTAGATTGACTTAGTAGAACTAGACAGGGGTGATCTTTATCAACGTATCTAGGAATACTTGAAGTGGTGAAATCTGAGAAAAAATTAAATTTATTCATTCAATGCAACAGTAAAATAAACAAAAACAATGTTACTCTTACAATATACTAAATGAGCTCCCCATTACACATAAAATGATTTTTTTTGTTAAAAAATGCAATAACTCAAACTACATATATTGGAATACTTATATCATGATTGTTAAGTCTTTCGATTTATTTGAGATTCAAATAAAAATCTAAACCAGCGCAGGTGATTTAGAGTTTTACCTATATATATATATATATATATATATATATATATATATATATATATATATATATATATATATATATATATATATATATATATATATATATATATATATATATATATATATAAAACCGATCATCAGCCGCTATCAAGAGCTTAGTTAAAAAAAAAACAACTTAAAATCGCTCTGGCTTTTTGTTTACTATTTTAAAAATCGAGAACCATCGCTTTTTTCAGTATCACAGGTTGAAAAGGCGTTGACATGTCCTGAAAGCTAGTCAGCATTATTATATACAAACTGTCAGACAGTTGAAAACTAAAAATTTAATATACTGCATATGCAAACTGTCAGACAGTTGAACACTACGAATACATTGTTATGGTGTATGGTTTTACTTATCACGTTGGCGGCATTGAATATTTTCATTGATATAGAACTAGAAGTGATTAGATTTTCGAGTAACAAATAGAGGAAATAGGCGTTGACGAACGTCCATTTTTACTACTAATTTAGATATTGTCTCATCGGTAGTTCAGGGAGTGGCTCATATACTGAAAAATAACTGCAAAAATGTCTTGTTTTCTGGTCATTTTATTGTATAAGTTGAGTGAAGAAGTTATTATTAATATGCAATGTTTTAGTACCTTCTTCATTGATCCCGCCTTCCAATTGATATTGCATTCTTCTACAATAAGGACAATGGCGATCTACTGTGAAAACTTCAGCAGACACTTTGAATCCACATGCATGAGTCAGGAAAGGCACGTCTCCATTTGCTTTCAACAGTTAAATATCGAACATAATATTAAACGGACTTTTGAGAAACATTTAAGGATACATTACAAACTTAATGGGTAAACATGAATGTAATAAGCTTACGAGTATATGCATATCCAAATCGGGCTAATACTTGGGGCGGTGGCAGTGAATAGATTGAACTTAAACGATCGATGTCAACGAAGGTATGTAGTCTGGTGTGAAATGAATCCGTGTCTTCTTCACCTTTAAATTAAAGCACATAAGTACATAACTAAAGCAGTAACGGAGTCGAGGATTTCGTTGTTCAGCCTCTTCAGAAATGCTAAAAAATTGCTATAATAATATAATTATGGAAGCAGATAACGAAGATAGTTTTATTAGGCGAAAAGCTCAGATATATATATATATATATATATATATATATATATATATATATATATATATATATATATATATATATGTGTGTGTGTGTGTGTGTGTACAATTATATATATATATGTATATATATATATATATATATATATATATATATATATATATATATATATATAATATATAACAAGTTAAAATGTTTCCTTTTACATTTTCAGAGGAAAGAACTAGTGTTCATAGGTTTCTGTACACTCTAAAAGAGGCTAGAGAGGTCATTTCTATGCCTGGCGACCTTTACTTTCACTTATGTGAGTCAGGTACTCATCGAGACTTTGTGGTTAGCAGGCGTGCGTCCATCTATTATTCGACCATGCAGTCCTGTATGCTAGACTTGTGTTAATTATAATTCATCTAAATCAGAACTAAATGCTAACAATTTTACTCACTCAAAACATGTGAAATGATGCCTTATATGCATGATCCAATGCCTACTTGTCCCGGGTTGTTGTCTGTCTATGGTAGTTTGGGGAAGTGGTGTGTTTACTGTGTGCATGCCTGCAATAACTAGATTCCACACCACAGCCTCTACATCTTTCTGTTTATTGTATCAATCTATGTTTACATGACTGGGTGTTTCTCTATGTAAGTTTGTTTATATTTATTGGTGTGTATACATGTAAATACATGTACATTTATTTGACTGGGTGTGCATGCATGTGTGTTTATATGACTGGGTCTGTCTGTATGATAATAGGACTGAATTTGTCTGTATATAAGTATGTCTATACGACTGGGAGTTCTTCTATGTAAGTATGTTTGTATGATTGAGTGTGTATTTGAGTTTGATCTTGTGTGTAATTATTTTTTTTGTCTTAGCAAGTCTTGATAAGCAATGGCTAGTCGTTCCAATATTTTCCTTATTAACATTTCTACACACAATTTAAATTAATATGAAAATTTAAAAACAACAACAACCCAACAACGTGCCTGCATGTCTTTCGCTGTTCGGTCGTCTCTGCGCAAAAAAACAATCAGGTCTGTTACGTATGTGTTCAACTAAAACATTCTCCACTGTCGTGACTTGCTTTAAGCATAGACCACAGTTGAAACATCTTATTTCCGTGCGTCTGCCTGTAGAAACTAGATATGAATAAATAAATACACACACAAACACATTGACGTATTTATATATACAGACAAATTTACCCCCATAAAAGAATCCATTTGACGCCAAAGCGGCTGTATCGGGCATTTGGTGTCGACATCTTGTAAAAGATTCAAGTCTTGTATTGTAAGTATTATAATGAGGATGGGCTGTTTCTCGGGAGCTGATTAAGCAACGAACTGCACGCGATAGAAAAACAAAATTAAAAAAAAAAGTATTGTATGGAGTATCAATGAGCTTTATATTTTAAAAAATGTGTATTTAAAAAGCATGATAAGGCTACTTGAAAGTTTCGATAAACATCTGATGTATTTACCTGTCGAGTTAACAGGAGGATTCAAATGAATTTGTTCATTGTAACCTAATCCAACGTAAGATACTATTCCTGGGGTATTGATATTATGTCTTCGATCACTATTGGCGAATCGACATCCAAAATTGTGGTATTCTGGATTAGAAGGGTCTGAATTAAAGACAGTCATAGCTCTCCGTGCGTGACAACACTCACACTTAACCGTACTGGCTCTGACGAAAAAAAAACCAGCTTCTGCTAGTTGTGTAAAGAAATATCTCCAGCCCGTTTCATAACTCACGTTCCTGAAACTTATCAGCCGATCCACGCCAGTCAAAGGATATACAAAAACAGTTGTCCTTTTCAAAGGTTGTATGTTTTGAACTTGTCTTTTTAATGAATCCAATCTTTTTTCAGGACATGGAAGCACTTTCAGAATTTTATTGTCTAACCATTTTGGTGGTTTTTTAAATATAGACGAAAAGTTCCATTGTACTGAAAATTTATTACCGAAATACCACACAAAAATGAACGTTTGCAGTTCATTAACTTGCTCAAAATATTGGGAAAAAATGACAAGGCTTTTCAATAATTGAAATATAATGGCAAGGAAGAGCGTGTAGAAATCAATCATTTTCAGAACGACCTTGAAAGAAGACTTGCAGATATGTGTTTTAATTTAATGAATACTTAAAGCTAGTTTTGGCATAATTAGAAATCATATGATATCTCAAGCAGCCTGCAAATAAACAAAAAGTTATATGTAAATACCGCCATATAAGCCACTGTTATATAAACACATTTATGTATATTGATATTATATATATATATATATATATATATATATATATATATATATATATATATATATATATATTGATATATATATATATATATATATATATATATATATATATATATATATATATATATATATATATATATATATATATATACATGTATATATATATATACATTGATAAATATATTACTAATTTAACCAATTAATTCATATTATTTTTATAAATTCATGGCCTTGCCTTTAATTGGTTAATAGTATAATTTACAACCTTACTGATTTGCCAAGAAAAATCAGGCTATTTACAGGTTGTTTTGCATATGGTAAATTCCCGAAATAACATGTGCAATCTTTAGACTATTCTCAGAAAATAACTTAATTCTTTATTTAATAAATTTTCTATTGATTTAATATACATATTTAACTTAATGTTTGACGTTTTACGAGTTAATTTTAAACTTTAAAAAATGGCAATATGTATAGGCGATCGGCTTGTTTGTTATACATTGAACTATAATCCGTTTTTATTTTTTTTAAATATTAATTTCCACAGACGAACATTTAAAAAAAATGTCTAAGTCTATTTTCTTTTCACATTGTTATTTAATATAACTGCTTAAACCTAGTTCCAGCTGCACATTTTCGCTAGAATATTCAATGTATTATTAACCTTGCTTAAGCTCATAACATACGAAAATGTTTTTATCTCAGAAAAATGTCAAAGTTGATCTTTTTAGCATAGATCGTGATTTAATTTTTTTTTGCAATGTATGAAGGATAATACAGATGAATAAAGTTAAACTTACTCATCAAGTTAATTTAGATAAGCCTAAAAATATTTTAACTAAATCACTGTGTAGGCTATGTCATACCACTTTTCACACAAAGTTTCTCTATATATGGATTCATTGTGTTTTATCTCAGCATTTTATATCTTTTCAATTAATTTTGGGAATTCCCAATTACTCAGTTTTAAAAATAGACTGAATCAGGGTCTTTAATAAAGTATTTTTTTTTGTCTTGATGTTTGGTTTGTGAAAAAATAGTGTAGCTATGGTACTATTATTTTTATTTTACATTAAAAACCACTACACAAACTGCAGTGTAAAAGACCGGCAAAGCTTCAAATTTTGATTACTTCTGTAAACATCCACACGTAGGCATTATAACTGTTCGACCGGCCCTCCTAAGTGTACTGTGGCGGGATGGGGACCAAATAGGAGGCTCGAAAATTATCGCCTAATTTACTTATATATATATATATATATATATATATATATATATATATATATATAAACGAAGTTATTTATAATTGTATTCTTTTAACCATTGTCAAGGCCAAGCTCTCTTTCCCCTACAATCAAACACACGCTGTCGCCGGCAAAATTCTTTTGGGAAAAAAAATCTATAGTTCGAGAAGTTTCTAAATATGTAGTGGACTTTCATAATACTTCTTTGTGGCATTTGTTAGGGGTCCGAAATCCATTGTACATTTTTCAATGTAAAATATGTGTTTGTGATATAGCTAGAACTTATATCCTGTCTCATCCTGTACTATCCTTTATTCTATAAATAATCAAAAAAGAATTTAATGCTAGTAACTTCTGTTTTATATAAGTTTACTTGTTTTGGAATTTACAAGAGATCTGAAAGTAAACATTTGGGCGCCTATAGTAAGATTTATAATAGGATTTGCAAAAAGTACCATCACAAATTCTGACATTGCTGACGTGTATCGACACTTTCTTGTCTCTTTCAAGTCTTTTTTCCCCATCCACCCTTTTTCTTTGACTCGCACGTATGGAATAGATAAATAAATGTATGCTCCACAAGAACTTAAGTAAATTAAAAAAATAGAGCGGCACTTGATATGTATGTATATATATATATATATTTATATATATATATATATATATATATATATATATATATATATATATATATATATATATATATTCTAGTTATTGTGGTCTTTGTGGGTTAATGAAGGCGCTGTGAACGATATTACTGACCAATTTTATTTTACATGCTCTAGGAAGTGGGAGTAAAGTGATGATGCGTCACCAGAATATTCCAAATCATTAAAGTGGAACTCAGCCAATAGTTTTTATAATCCATAAAGTAAAGAGACGGTGACGAAAAACTTTTTGTACTATTTTACAATGAAAGAGCCCTTAGTAAACTATTTTAGAAACATGACATACCGTTAGTGGAACTTTAAAAGCTTGACCTTCTTCTGGAATGTTGGTGAATTTTCGAAACATTCACTAGAGAATTAAGCTTTCACACACGTTCTAAAATTTGGAGCTCCATTTATTAAAATAAAATCGTAATTACAATATGTCAATTATAGCGGATAAGCCGCCATATTGATACCAAAGTCACTCTTTGTTTAATGTAAATACTTTATAACAGTTCCTCTTGAATTATCTAAACACACGTAAGCACATATTTAAGGTATATATATATATATATATATATATATATATATATATATATATATACATATATATATGTATATATATATATATATATATATACATATATATATATATATATATATAGTATGTATATATTTATTTAATTATTTATATATATTTATAAGCTCGCACCCCTTTGTGCACTCACCGCTCCAGTACGACTTCAAAACAACAAATTCATAAATAAAAAAAAACAGAACGAGGCTTACGCAAAATGCTCTTTGCAAAAAAAAAATTTTAAAATAATCAACAAGGAACAGTAGATGCTTTGATTTAATTGATATAGAAATGAAAATTTTAAATTTAAAAACAATAGCAGCTGTGGTTTAAGATAAATATGGGCACTGTTGGTTTAGCCATATCCCAGTATATTTCACTGAATAAAAAAGTAAAACACAAGTTGTATCACAATTTCATTGGTTCTGCCTCGAAATGTAACTAGTTAGTTGTGGACTCTCTGAGAATATAAAAAATTAAATGCTTATGGAATATAAAAAAATCTAGACGCTACAACCTTAAGTTTAAACTACATACGTAAGACTAACAAATGGAATACCTATACAAATAACAGCAGGAAATCTCTAAACCATTGTCGGGAATCAGCACCACAGAGTGAAGAATATTCGGAGACAGAGGAGGTTGGGTTTGTTACTTTCTAATAAAATATGGGGAGAACAAGCATAATAGTTATCTAGTGGAATGTCTATCACTGCTTGGCTGACCTGGCGAGACAAGAAATGTATTTAAGCTGCAGAGATAAAAAAAAATTCGAATGCCTTAAACCTGCAGGCATGAAAATCTAATGCCTAAAAACTGCAGGGAAGTAAATAATTAATGCCTCGATGGAATTAGATATGTTCAATCTCACCCGATAGAACGGTGTTGGAGCAACAGTAAAGAAAAGTAACAAATAGAAAGAAACTAAATTTAATATTGGCGACCGTCTGGAACAAGATGTAGTATTTACATCTAAACCAACATTTTATTTATCAAAAAATACCGCTCTAGAAAAGGACAATTTTTGTGTACGCTATTAGTTTCTTTCAGCTTTCCGCTCAATGGGTTTTTGACACGCTGGACATTCAGAAACATTAGGTGAACATATTGAGCAAACACACAGATGGCGGCATGGCTCAAACATAATGGTGATGGGCGCCTTGTTGCAAACTGCACATTTAGTCTGATTCGCCCTAGAACTGTTCCGTTTTGGTTCTCGTGCGGGTTTCTTGCCTGGCAGAGTTTGGGTCACCCCTGGAACAGATCAAACCCAAATGTACTATTTACGTGTTTTATTATGTGGTTTAACTCAAATATTAGTGACGTTTTTTTGATCAAACGAACTCTATGATTAATAAACATTTAGTATCTAAATTTGTCTGTTTTATTTGGGGCCGTAAGAGGGTGAAATATAAGCTAAAGATATCATGTTATAGTTAGTAAATGTACTAATATTAAGCTAATTTAAATGACAAAATAAATAAGAGACAAAAACTCACCGTTGTGCAAAACCTCACCCACGGCTAGTGCTGGTTCAGGTGCTTGTGGGCCTGAGTTCGCCATGTTTGGCCGTGACACGGTGCTGGCAGGAAGCAGGTCGTCACGTCTTGCAGTGTCAGACGACTCACGATCTGGGGCACTGTATGATTCTAACACACTAACACTCGAGTGAGCATCCAGTAGGTCAGGATCATCTCCTAAAGATAGGCAATTTACTTTCTTACATCAAGTACACCAAATACTAAACAATAGAAAATATTTTTTTTTCATTTCAGATTTACTTATGCCATTATTTTCATTAGCTGTTACATTTAAAGGTTTAAACAATCTTCTTAACGAAAAACTAAATATAGGCTAATCAATTTATAAAATAAAGTATTTTCACATAATGAACATGGAAAAAAGTTTGTTTCTTTTATTTAACCTAGACAACCTACGTTGTGAGTCCGTGATTCTTGTTGCTGCCAGAGGGTTTGATGTGTGGCTGTATGTTATTGCATCCTGGGATTGTGCGACTAGACGGAGGCTTTGCTGGCTCGCAGGCACAGCGACGAAATCTGAAAATAGTTTTAAAAATTCATTTAAAAAAAAAAATTTAGACTTAAATATAAAAAAAAAAACAACTCGACAACACAACGCATTAGGGTTTATAGAATGTGTAAACCATTTCTTCTTTATATTATTTTTCAAAATAATAAAATAATCTTGCAATCCGTCTTATTAGGTGAATTATTGTTCAGTTTGCGACTTCGGCCTCAAAAGATAATTGTATTGTTAGCATCATACCCAGGTAATATTGTTATATTCAGTGTCAAATTTACAAACTCGATGAGAATTTTCGTATGTCCTCTGACTCGAATCTTTAACAAAACGTTTAATCTTCGACCATGTCAGTCATTGTAAGTTTTAACACTCGACCATGTCAGTGATTGTAAGCTTTAACACTCAACCATAGCCCCGAATGTCATGATAAAAATATTTATTTTACCTGATTCTTCACCGTATTCCTCCTGATACTGAACCTCGTCACAATATGGGCAGTTGGGGTCCTGCTCAATATTGTTCAACGTTCTTTTATATCCACAGCTGTGGGTGATCCAATGGGTTTGTCCGTTTGCTGAAAGTTGATAGAAATCTCGGGAATATATAGAAGGTTATGGTAGGAAATAGGTAATACGACTGAGAACAATGTAACCTAAGACCACTTACACCTCGCCGTGTAGGAATAACCAGAGCGAGCCAGTACACTCGGGAGCAGATGTGATGAGAAGAGGTTGGAACCCTCAGCGTTGCTGAAAGTGGACCATCTGCCCAGAAATGTGCCGGCATCATTCTCTTCTTCTTGGAAATAATAAAAGAAATTCATTACCAAAATGAAATGTTCGATGGAAAGACAGTGAAATGATTGAATAATTAGCTGTAGAACTGGGTGTTTGGACACTAGAGGACAGAAAGAGAAAACTAGCTGGACAAGAATGAAGAAGTGTTAAGGGAATACGATCAACACCATTACAATATTACTGACTTACCAGGAGGCCATTCATTATTTCTGCGGCTCTGGAAAAAGCGACACTGCGGTTTTTGATGTTGATGCTGCTGGAAAACTTGCTCAGCAGTAGTTCTGTGCCTCAAATAGAGCCCGCAGCAGAAGCAATAGATTTTATTACCTGCTCCTATTTGAGTGATAAAACCATTTAGTGGAATAGGCAAGATTTTATTAGAATAGTTGCTAAAGTATCAATATATAATACACACATATATATGCATATACAAACACTTCCACTCCCCCCCCCCCCTCCAATCACACACATACGACTTATACCTCCATAGAAAAATCCATACGATGCCAACAGATGTATATCTTTCAATTGTCGACTGACCTCACTGAAAGACTGCTTTCTTTTTTTATATGTTTTGTAAAGTGGGTGGACATTAGAGGTTACTCTTATTTCAGCAACACGCTGTCCTGTATTATAGGATTTTTAAAAAAATCGTTTATACATTTTTCAGGAGTGGAAATATTCATGATTGTTTAAGATTTGAAAAATGAGTAAATTATTTAAAAAGAAATTTTGGCAAAACAAATAGTTATCTGTAAACATCTGTAAGTCTAAATGATTTGAATATAAGCAATCATACTATTGGTGTCTGGTTTTGAAATTTGTCTTAACGCTTTGGATTATGACTAAAATAACTTTTTAAAAATTACAGTAATCTGCGGCTAGCAAACTGATATTAATATACCTATTGTTGTACAATAATTTTTGTTCTATATATTGTAGTTTACAACTTGAGCAACAAACAAGCAAAATTCATTATAGTTACCCCTTTCAGCGGTGAGAGAGCGTAGCTCCGGGCCATCATTAGACGCCGCGGCCCCCACTGCGGTCTCATCATGACGTGCATCAGGGCCAGAGATAAACCTGCAGCCATTGTTGTGGTACTCTGGGCTTGTAGGGTCTGAATGAAAGGCAGCTAAGGCTCGTGAGGAATTACAGAATTCGCAGACGACTCTGCTGACCGATCTCTCGTACGAAAAGCCAGCAACTTGTAATTCTATAAAACTGAGTCTCCAATTTAATGGATACTGCGCCTTTCGAAAAGTTGCCAATCGATACATTATGTCAGAAAAGTGTCATACTTGCTATTACTGTTTTCTTTTCTTTTTTCTTTTGTATTTTGTTCTGATAGTGTTGTTCATACTCTCCGCCAACCTACAGGTAAAAAAACAATTCTAGAATAAAGGAATAGATCTTTATCAATATGTTTCGTTTTTTTCATGATAAATTGTTATTATTAAAAAGTACAGCATATTAAGCGGTGTGTGAAAAATAGCACATTCACTGTCGTTCTTATTTGACTTTAAACCAACCCTGTACTGAGTATAGTGGAAGTCAGTGGCGTAGCGAGGTCGGGTGTCACCCGGTGCGGAACTTGATGGTGTCACTCCCCAGAGGCGTAGCGACCCTTCCCGGGGACAAACTTTCAAATTTTCAATTAGCACCCCCCCCCCCCTTCTCAAGTTTTCGATTTGCACCCCCCTCGAACTTTCGATTTCTACCCCGACCCTCAAGTTTTTCTCTATATTTTTTTGCTATTTTTTGCCTTGGTGTCACCCCCCTCAATGGTGTCACCCGGTGCGATCCGCACCCCCGCCCCCACCTCCCCCCCCCCCTCGCTACGCCTCTGAGTGGAAGTACTGTATTCTTAGAAAAATCGAAATCGATATTTCGGTCCTCGGTGCTTTTACCACAGGTGTTTTGACCAAAGGGGGTTTGACCATGGTCCGCGCATCGAGATTTCGAAAAACCTCGACGTTTCTACGCTTACCTGACTCGGTAAAAACAGAGCTTTGCGATCTTACAGGTAGGCACCTATCTGTCTACGTGTGTGGGTGGGGGGAAGGAGACGATAACCTATGTACCATCAGAGGCGTAGCGAGGGGGGGGCAGTGCAGTTTCCCAAAGAAATGCCTCAAAGAAACTCTGATTTAAAACGTTTTCTGACTATCAAAATAACGGCTTACTTAGTAAATAACAAGTAATAAGGAAGTCGGCTACTAAATTGTGCATGAAAGATGTCAATTTTATGAAGAAATAAAACATAATAAGTATTGTATTCTTATTAATAATGCTAAATGTAAGATTAGGGTAAAGGTGGGGGTAATCCGTACCAGCAGGCAACTCGTACCACCCCGATTTCGCTTGATTTGAGCTTGATTTGACAGAAAATCGCTGGAACATGTTTAAATTGTTCTAAATGATAAAATATATGATCTGGCCAAAAATTATTGGAATTGATCGTAAAAGAGATGTGGTAAGTCAGATTTTGTGTTTTGTCAATGTCTCATGTAATGTCAAGTTGTCTTTCTAGCTGTGCAGTTCTGTAGAGGATACGCGTATCGTGTTTTAAATGTTCTATGATGTCGAAAAAATCACTCTTCTTCATTAAATAAATAAGTTTTGCAAGTAAATTCTGAAAATTACAAACGTGAATCAGAAATCGGCCTGTAGTCAAAGTCGGCTAAAGAGTACCATGCGAAGGCGGGTAAGAAGTTCTAGTAGTACAACTTACCCGTCACCGCCACCCAATTTCGATAATGTTATTTTTTTCCCCTTCATTTGCATTTAACTTAGTAAAGCTTTATTTAAATTTATACACATACATTTTCTATATCATCAATAAGTTTTTGCAAGAAATGGAGGCATTAAAAGGAACCTATTTTATGTTTGTTTATATTTGTTTGTTTATATTGGGTTTGGTGACCGATTTATTGGTCTGCCGGGCAGACACGAACCGAAAAAGCGGAACTCCGAGTTTAAAGGGTTAACTCGACAACTATGTTTGCTCTTAGAGCTAAACATTTAGCGACCGGCACATTTTCCCTGTATATCTAGACCCTAATATACTAGTTTATATGCTCAATAGTTAACTTTATAAACTACTGTATTTGTATAAAGTATAAAGCACATAAAGCCATTTCATTTCGGGAAAATATCATAATCTGATCTAGTCTAAAGAAGTTCCATTCAAACTTTTTTTTTTGGAAGTAAATAACAAAGTCAGTTTTGTGATTTATAATATTAATTATGAAAGTCTTAATAATTTTAATTACTTAAAAAACTATGGGTTTATATTGTAGTTTAAAGGTGAGGTCTATTTTTTGTTTTAAAACAAGATGGCGGGCGGCATGTCTAAAACGCTCAATTAGCCTAAGCAAGTTATTTCAAAGTTATCAGTAACTGCTGACATTTAAGCTAATAGAAAATTGTATAAAATATGTTACGTTACAATGAACGCTTGACTTGAGTGTTATTTATCTAATACTTAACCTGTTGTTGAGGGTTCCTACTATTCCGCCAAAGAAAAAACAATCGGCTCTAAGACAAAAAAAATTCTGAGAAAACAAATACCGTAATCGCTATAAATAATCGAGTAAAAGTAAGAATAGGAATATCCGTTTTTTTGGGGTTTTTTTTTTGTAATGTAGGCTGTTTATATGTAGAATGTCCTGCACGGATATAAAAAATATAAATAAACACTTTAAATGAAATGTGTAAACAAGGTATAATAGGCTAAATTATGTAAGGAGACGTGTGAGAGGGGAGTTTTTAGGATGAGATTTGGTTTCATATTGGTAACATGCGTCAGTTAAAATGTTTTTGAAGCAGCACATAAAGTTTTTTTTTTTCTTCTTTGAATAAAGTTTCAAATACTGAAAATACATCAGTGTGGCAAATTAAATACACGCGCTTTTGTTTGGTTGGCCGGTTTTAAAATAAAGCTACTTTTATTCAAAATTCTTAAAATTATGTCCGACATCTCATAAACGTCGCTTGCATGAACCTACCCGTTACATAAATTAACATGTTTTAAGTTATCCATTCGTAAATTTTGATGCTGTTTTTTTTTAAAACTACATTAAACTTCTCAAGTTATTTTCCGGCACACCAAAATGTGCTTTAGTTATGGATAAACGGTTTTTAATCGTATCAAGTCTAAATGTCATTGTTCTCTCAGGCTTCTCCTGACTGGCATCTCAGTCTGGTAGTTCTAGATCAGCCAATCGTCATTCTGGTGGAAGTAATGGACGGTCTTATGGTCAATGACATGTTCAGTGTTTCTTGCGAAGTAGCTGCGTTTGAATTTAAGAGTGAGTACACACATTACATGTTGTGATATCTCGTGTAATTGGAATTGGATTCCCATCTATATCATTAATTCTTATATGCTTATAATTGACTCGAGTTTGACGCGTATCTCAAAAAATATTAATCGCTTTCGAAATTGTGACTTGACAGGATGAACGTTTATAAAAGTATAACAATGGTTTGATAGAACAAAAACTAACAATAACTTGCGGAACAGTATCGAACCTCGTTGGTGTATCCATTCTTCTTGGTGTCTTCTTCCAGGTCACGTCTCCACGTCTTCCTCATTTCCTTTTTCAAAGTGTGTTGCAGGTGAAAGCTTATGCTGGATGCAGACTTTTCTCTGGAGGATCTCTTCGTCAGCTGGCACTTGGTTTTTCCGCTGCCAGAGTACCCCATTTGAAATGCAGGCTGTACGGCTGAGGAATCTGCAAGAGCAGAAATCTGCAGCACGGAATATTGGACTGGAAAAAGTTGAATGGAAGCAGGTATCAGCTAGACGGTATTTTGGACAAGTTGTTGGGCGGCAACACGAAGAATGTTAAGTAGCTGGACAACATTCCGCCAGACGACATTCTGTTAGCACTCTCTTACAATTCCGAACATTACCACAACGAATAGGTCTACAGAAGTTTAACCGTAAAATCTTGGTTGAAAACTTCATGTTTAGAAAATATTAAAACGAAATAGGCCTAGTCGCTAATCCATTGCTTATGAATATTATGATTCATAAAAGCAAAGGGAAGTTATCTAAGCTGATGTCCCATTTATAAAGGCCAGCAGTACGCTGTTACTCAACGGATAATTCCATTGACGTGGCATCGAAACTGAGTTGTTTGTGTCAAGTTATTTAAAGTAATGCTGAATTTGAGTCAACTTATTTAAAGTAATGCGGAACTTGAGTCAAGTTACTTAAAGTAATGCGAAACTTGAGTTAAGTTACTTAAAGTAATGCTGAATTTGAGTCAAGTTATTTAAAGTAATGCTAAATTAAATAAACCGGGAGTGATCTCCCCTAAACTTTCTCGAATATTCTTATATAAAACAACAGGGGATGGGAACTCGGGATATAGTTATGATTTTTAATCCATTTTAAATACTTAAACTTTTTAAAATAGAATAGAATCTCATAGAAAAAAGTATTGCGCACCAAGCGAACGCCGAATAAAGATGTTCATATTATTAGTACTTTATAAATTTATAAATTTAGATGCGTTTTTGAGAAATCGGAAATAGCGTAAATTAGTACTTCCCGTCAACGGAAATTACTCAAAATTTGAAAGAATGAAGAGAATTAGATCTTTTACTTACATGTGTAATTTCATTTATCTATCTGAAATAGTACTCAAGTTATAGGCTTTTGAAAAATTCAAAGTAGAAAAAGTTCCACTCCCGGTTATCGGAAATCGCTCAAAAGTTGATACGGATCTACGATTTTGATAAAATACTTATATATGAAATTTCATCAACCTAGCTGTAACGGTACTCAAGTTATTGTGTTTACACACACACACACACACACAGACACACAGACAGACACACAGTCATACGGACAAGATTGCAAAATTATGTTTTTCCGTATATTTGCACGATTACAAGACTTTCTCTATACTTCGTATATACGAGAAAGTAAAAATCACACAAAAACAGAGGGTTAAAAAACAACGGTTTAGCTTATGCCAATTATAAGAAATAGTTCAGCGCGGTTCCAGAAATATTTTTATAGCTCACGAGGGGGTGGGGGGGGGGGTGGGGGGAAGGTGCAATTATAAAAATGATTTAAGTATATATTTTCTATTTAACTTTAACATTTTCCTATTTTTCTCCGCGATAAGAACGCGGTGGAGTGGAGTGCTCCGGGACAGGCAATCCTCCCCCCCCCCCCCCCTTTCCTCCCGAGGAGATGTCTGAAATAAACACTGCAGCAAATACTTTACTCCTGATTGATGAAAGAAAGGGGGAAACTATACTAAGAAATGTGTTTAATAGCTTTTATTTTCTTAAATAAAATTAGCATATGAAAAAAAAGATCCGAAAAAAAAAATTCAAAATAAAGGCAAAAACATTTGCATTATAATCATAAAGAACATTTGAGTGAAGTTATGTAACATATCATCAAGGAAAAATAGAAACGTACGGTTCAATCAAGAAACTTTACTATGGGGTCGTCTATAAAAGACGTCACACTCAGAGTTTCTTCCAGGCATCTCTTCGCGAAAAAAATTCTACCGCCCCCCCCCCCCCCCCGAACGAAATAAAATTTATATAATTTATATAGAAAATATATAGTTTTTTTTTTAAAATACGCACCCTATACTATCGACCGTAACTTGATGGTGTATAGCCTATTTACGTTTACAGCCGTCAATTTTAAATATACCTTCTAAATGGAAATTCCATTTGCTTGTTTCGGTATTAATTATACTATAGTCCATAATTTTTTTTTCAACACGAAAGTAATCGTAATTTTGAACGGTATGGGGAATAAAAATCGTTGGGCTAAACCTGCAATCGGGAAAAATATTTGTCGTGTCTATAAATAGCATCAGCTGCCACCAAGGGAAGGAACCGCCTTTCTCTCATGTGGTTGGACTTATGCAAGTTGTACGGAGATGAACCCGGGATTCGAACTCATGTCTCAATTCGACCATTTAGAAAGTAATAATAATGCTTAAAACTGAAATTTAGCCATTATTTTACATTTTTAAAATACATTTTTCGTTAACTGAAATAAAGCTTGATCAATTAACCTCGTGTTTACTTAATATTTTAGAAAGATATTTTTTTAAAATTCAAAATAGCAATTAAGGTTAAATTAAAGTCATTTTAGGGGATTATGACGATAAGGAGATATTACAAAAAAAGAAGTTCCTTTACAATATAGAATGACGCAGACAAACATTGTATTTTACACAGTTTTCCAAAAACCAGAAAAAAAAGTTGAGTTATTACCCCTTCCCCAGCTTTTCTGTAGAATAGTTTAAATTATGTTTGCAAATATGACTGTGCTTAAATATTAATCCCACAAGCAAAAGTAAAGATTTATTTGTAAATGTAACTATTTGTATTGTTTTTGTAACAATGGTGTCACCCCCTCCCCCTTTTTTTTTCTCTCACCCCACCTCTAGTTAATAGCTTTAAAGTGTTCACATTTAATTCTAATGATGTATATCTATAGTCGGTTGTTAATACAGCTTTGTGTAGCATTGTTTTCTCTATAGTTTGCATGTTTATGTCATGGTGTCACCCCCCCCCCCCCCATCACTTGTTGGGATGGTCATTATGTACTTAAAGTAATAACTCTAATTAACCATTCAATGAACTGGCAAAAAAGACATATTTATTCTAATTTTTTTTGTCTTGGTGTCACCCACTCCCCTAAATGGTGTCACCCGGTGCGATCCGCAACCCCCCCCCTCAAGACACCTCACGACGCCTCTTCCCTTGAATCCATGTCTCCTGTTTTAGGATCCAAACACAAATAAGAGTTAAAGGCAAAAAAATTATCTAAAATTTCTCCTTTAACTTTAATAAATTTAGATACTTAAATGTCCTTAAGCATTTAATTTTTATTTCATCTCATTTCACTGACACAGTTACATCATTCAATGAATCCTGTACATGATGAAACATTCTCATTCAATGAAACACTATCACACCATTCAATGAATCCTCTACATGATGAAACATTCTCATTCAATGAAACACTGTCACAGCATTCAATGAATCCTCTACATGATGAAACATTCTCATTCAATGAAACACTGTCACATCATTCAATGAATCTTCTACATGATGAAACATTCTCAGTCAATAAAACACTGTCAAATCATTCAATGAATCTTCTACATGATGAAACATTCTCAGTCAATGAAACACTGTCACATCAGTCAATGAATCTTCTACATGATGAAACATTCTCAGTCAATGAAACACAGTCACACCATTCATTGAATCCTGTACATGATGAAACATTCTCATTCAATGAAACACTGTCACACCATTCAATGAATCCTCTACATGATGAAACATTCTCAGTCAATGAAACACTGTCACATCAGTCAATGAATCCTCTACATGATGAAACATTCTCAGTCAATGAAACACAGTCACACCATTCATTGAATCCTGTACATGATGAAACATTCTCAGTCAATGAAACACTGTCACATCAGTCAATGAATCTTCTACATGATGAAACATTCTCAGTCAATGAAACACTGTCACATCAGTCAATGAATCCTCTACATGATGAAACATTCTCAGTCAATGAAACACTGTCACACCATTCAATGAATCTTCTACATGATGAAACATTCTCAGTCAATGAAACACTGTCACATCAGTCAATGAATCCTCTACATGATGAAACATTCTCAGTCAATGAAACACTGTCACACCATTCAATGAATCCTCTACATGATGAAACATTCTCAGTCAATGAAACACTGTCACATCAGTCAATGAATCTTCTACATGATGAAACATTCTCAGTCAATGAAACACTGTCACACCATTCAATGAATCCTCTACATGATGAAACATTCTCAGTCAATGAAACACTGTCACATCAGTCAATGAATCCTCTACATGATGAAACATTCTCAGTCAATGAAACACAGTCACACCATTCATTGAATCCTGTACATGATGAAACATTCTCAGCCAATGAAACACTGTCACATCATTCAATAAATCTTCTACTTGATGAAACATTCTCAGTCAATGAAACAAACTGTTATCACAACACATTGCCATTCTATTGGTTGAACTCACTGTTTGATTAATGTACCAAAGATTCTCTGTTCAGCTCTAAAAAAACAATATTTACAACATTTACACAAGATACACAGTTACACTTGCAATAATTGTGTTATGACACAACACGCAATCTCTCAGTGACCTGACACACTTTTGACATGCAACTAGATGACCACATGGTAAGGTCATCTCATTAGCAGGTGCTGCCTTACACATTTTACAGGTCAGTTTGTCCTTGAGTATTTTGTTTTCTCGCTCCAGTATGGAAAATTTCACACAGGAACCTATCTGGCTGCCGAGGACATCTGCAAGAACAAAAAAAAATATTAAAGTTTAGATTTTAAAAATTTACTTTGTTATAATATATGATGCATAACATTCTAAAGACAAAAAGATTGAAAATTAAACTGTTACGATTTAAGAAAAGTGTGTTCCATAATAATTGTCTCGTCTCCGGGACACAAAGAAATACAAAATTCCATGGAGCACAAAAACTTAATAAAATTCCATGTACAAAAAAAAAAACTATACAATTCCTTATGCACAAAAAATTAATAAATTTCCATTGTGTACAAAAAAATTAATAAAATTATATTGTCCACACAAAATTAATTAAGTTCAATTGTGCACAAAAATCAATAAAAATTCCATTGTGTACAAAAAATTAATAAATTTCTATTGTGTACAAAAAATTAATAAAATTCCATTGTGCACACAAAGATAAAAAAAAATTCCATGGTGCTCAAAAAATTAATAAAATTCGATGTTGATCAAGAAACTTTATAAAATATTATGGTGCACAAAGAAATTCTTTAAATATTACTTCAATCATGGAAAGTCATGAGATTCTATGACATATAAAGAAAATTATGAAATTCCATAGGACACAAATATGTATATTCCTACATTATTCCCTCTGATTCTATTTGGATGCTTGTATATTTATACAGCAAGAATCATATTCTAAGGTTGCACAAGCATGTGAGCAATTACGTCACACTGTATTGTTATTTTCAGTTCTCAGAGCATAAACTTTCTTGTACAGTTTTATTATAAACTCATTTGCTGTGTCTTGATTGACTTGAGTTGTAGACTGTAGAAAGTCTTAAAAAAATTATTCAATGAATTACTTTCTCTTGGCACATTTAGATAATGGCATTGGCTCCCAACATATGCAAACAGCACAACAAATGGTGAACACTTGGATGTTTATAGAATGATAGTCTTGTGTTTGTGAATTTACCAGGATAATTATTTATAAATCTGCCAGGATAGTTGTGTAAACAATCCTAACAAGAATGTCTATGTAAATGAAAAAGGATAATTATGTTTGTAACCTTACAAGCATAATACTGTTTGTAAACAATTACAATTTTGTAAACCTACCAGGATAATTCGGCATCACGGCATTTTTGGTGGTGAGTAATGGAACCTCAACACTTAACAGACCTACGGAAACAAATGTGAGGTTGTCTTATCCTAATCTGCATACACCACATTTACAAAACACATTTATCTTTTAAACCATTAACTTAAGCTACTTAATAAAAATCATATAAATCCTTTACTTTTTAAATTTAATATAGAGAATGATATAAGAAATTAATTTCGACTTTTTAAATGAAAACCATATAGCACTATTTTGTTAAAGAAAATAAATTTCAAATGTATGGGAATTTCTATTACCATCACTCGGCTTCATTCTGATCCTTTTAAGTAGTTTTTTCCTGAGTTTTTGAAGAATTTGCAACACATACTGACACTGAGGCCGATATTGATGATGTTTGTCAACTATATCATCATGTGGTTGCAAGTATCTTAAAGCTAATCCACAGTAAAAACATGTCACACAATCTGCCACATCTGAAATTTTACACATTTGTATTTTATGAAAAAGCCATTAACTCACATCTTCTGCATTAAATTTCTTTAGCTAACTCATGAACCAATCATCAAGCAGAATTAATTAATTAATGAACTATCATCTTTAGCATTAAATTTATTTCGATAACCCATTAGCCAATCATCAAGCAGAGTGAATTAACTAACATCTTCAGCATTAATTCGAGTTGAAATTACAGATATTTTCAACAATAAAAAGTTAATGTGATGGGCCTAGAATTTTGATAGGGTAAGCGTAATGTATTAATTCTGCATAACAGAAAATTACTCACAGTTTAGATAAAGACCATTTTTAATTTGCAATTTGAAAAATACTTTTGATTAAAACTATATCATAATTTTAAAAATTCTGTTTGACTCATTATAATATAACTTTAGAATTGAAGAAATTGGGATTAAATGATTAAATAAGATTCGATATACCTTGATAGAAAAAGCCAGCCTCTGCAAGATTAACAGGGTTGTGACAGTGGTGGGTTGGCCAACACAGGAAACTGTTAATCCTTTCTTGAACATCAACATACATAGGGTGTTTTGGGCTGTTGGAGATTTGTATAGTGTGGTTGGCAGGAGGTTGTAGGGTGTGATTGGAAGGAGGCTGTATGGTGTGGTTGGCAGAGGGTTGTAGGGTGTGGTTTGCAGGTTGTAAGGTGTGGTTGGCAGGAGGTTGTAGGGTGTGGTTGGCAGGAGGTTGTATGGTGTGGTGGGCAGGAGGTTGTATGGTGTGGTTGGCAGGAGGTTGTATGGTGTGGTTGGCAGGAGATTGTATGGTGTGATTGGCAGGAGGTTGTATGGTGTGGTTGGCAGGAGGTTGTAGGGTGTGGTTGGCAGGAGGTTGTACAATGTGGCTGAAGGATGGGTTGACCTGATCTAAGTGAAAGGATGGTCTCTGAGAGCCAGTGTCATCCATTTGTTGGTTCAGGAAAGGATTTTGATCCTGAGCATTGTTAGGGCTAGGTGTGTCAAGTAAGTGAGATGAATTTGCTGACTGTAGAGAATCTTCAGTATGGCTGGGGTAGTGAAAACTCCCAGGGTCTGTTGTTAAATGCATTGTTACTGAGGTGTTGAAAACTCATGGAATCAGGAGGCTGATGGCTTGGTACTCTATTGTTGCTGAATTAATATTGATTGTCTGGAACTCAAAGGCTGCTTCATATAGATTTACAACTCAGATGCTGCTGTAGTGACGGCGTCATTAAACTGGTCAGTTGTGGAAGGTTTTTAATACAAACCACTGAATCTACATCGAGCTCTGTGGTGTTGTGATGCCTGTGTCAGCAGACAGATCATGATAAACAAGGTGGCATTTACACTTGACCTTCATCTCTCACATGTGTAAATCCTGTGCTTGATACATGAAAGAGTAAATGTGTTCCAGCAAATTATTTTGTATACCACAAAATCCTGCAAGATAATAACGATTGTCTGACCACTGATTCATCAATGACAGTAAATGTGTAAACAAACGTTAATTGATTTTAATTTTCTTTATTCACAAATTGAAATTAAATTAGCAATTAACCCTTGTTAAATGACTTGCAAAAAAATTGATTAATCCAAAATTTTAAACTTTGAAAAGATGTTAAACATTTTTAAAATAATGAAGGTTAGAAATAGAAGAAAAAAGTATAAAAATATATCTCACTTACAGAAAGTGATTCTGAATAAATTAATTATAAAGATCATAAATGTTGATTGGAATGAGTGAATGATTCAATGAAATCACAGCCTAATTATAATAAGTAGCGCTATCAAACATAGCAAAACAAAGCTCCATTAGAGAAGATACAAGAAGGACTGTAAACAACTATTTAGACCTAATTATTGTGAACACACATCTAAACAATACTTTTTTTTTTTGCCAACTCAGGTGCTTGTAATAATGTTATTCAGTTACAGGAAATTATTATGTGACCATTTCTATAGCTGGATTAAAATTTCAGATAGCTATTTAGGCTACATTTAACCGTATTAGATTTAACCGTATTAGAATCAAACATAATAAACTAATTTAAAAAATACCTTACTGTACTTAATCCTCTCTGCCATGTCTAAACATTAAACGCAGGTGTTATAGGAACACCTATTTATGAGAAATAAATAAAAGAATAACATAGCTTTACAACACAACCTAAGTCTGGTTATTATGATAACCTACAACTTTGCAAACTGCAAACATGGATACTTAAAACAAGTGTAAAGATATACAAGTTTTATTACCTTTAGGTAACACTCAGACTAGATTAAACCAGTTGGTAAAAAGAAAGTATGGGGATTCCCAAAATTAATTGGTTAAAGCTATTTAAAGTGATTACTGTTGCTAGGCAGACATTTTGAAAATTCAGGTGATAATATAGATTTAAAAACTTTCTCTTTCTTTCATACTTGTACAGAGAAGAGTGCTGAATAGGCTAATGATACACAAGCTAATTTTTAAAAATTGATTTAGATCATACGTATCAGCTTATAAATCAAATATTACGATAGATATGGGTAATTAAAATGCAGTGATGCCTGCCAGGTATTGACTTCTCATAATGAAACCCATTTTGATGAATGATCAATACTAAATGATCCTTATTTAAAACTCTTAAAGAAAATTATAGTAATAATTTGGGTACTTTTCTTATGGCAGTACTGTCAACCATTACACATCAAACCCCATTTTACTATAACAGTAACCTATTCATAACACTATTACCACTGACTGACAGAATGATTAATTAAATAGATAAAAATGGATAAGTTGTGGATAATGAGTGAAATGATACAATTTTAGATAATTTGATAACTTAGTCAGTCTTGACATTAGCTTTAGTTCTTACGTACACAGAAAACTTGTTCACCTGTGTACAAAATGTATACAATTAAACAGTAGTGCTTGTATCTTAAAGAAATGGAGAATTTAGTGATAATTATGAAGCAGTATCCATTTAAAGTTTGTAACTCTACAGTGAGGGATGAATGAAAACAGAAATAAAAGTCATCAACTTGAAGTGACTGTGTGACTTAAATAATTTATAATGCTGCTTATTACCAGTGGTGTAGTGAGGGGGGGGGGGGGTGCGGAGTGCACCGGGTGACACCATTTAGGGGGGTGACAACAAGGCAAAAAATAGTAAAATATATAGAGAAAAATTTGAGAGGGGGTGGGGGGGGGGGGTGCAAAGTTTGTCCCCTGGAAGAGTTGCTACGCCTATGTGGGGTGTCACCCTTAAGTGCTGCACCGGGTGATACCCGACCTCGCTTATTATTACACAGAATAATACTGTTTAAACTTTTTATTAAAAGTGAATGCATGTGTACAGGGAATGGGGTAAGCTAGGGTCTAAAATTTAATTTAAAAATCAAATAAAGAAAACTTGTTAGATTTCTAGAAAACATGGCTATTTTTTAAAAATTTAGTTGAAATTTGTGATGTCATTTTTGGTGGGTGGAGGAAGGAGGAGATTATTTGGATTTTTGTGATGTCTTGCTGATGGGGTAGGTAGGTAAAAATCTTTAAGATTTTATTTTCCTACCATTGTGGGCTGGAAAACCACATGAAAATACTAATTATATACATTTTTGATTGAGTCAATAAATATTAGTTGTTGAACACGCTGTTAGTTATATTTTCCCTACAGTATAGTTTACCCTAATGATAGCACTGGCCAAGTTCAATATTTCTCAAAACATATTATCTGCAATAGGTGTGGAAGTTATTTTTTCTATTTAAACAAAATAAGAGCCATTAAGTGATTAAGTTATTCAGCATATTCTGCCACATTGCAATTTAAAATCATGAATACTCATACTTTAAATGTACAATTGTATAGCATTATATGTTTAAATGTTGATTTCTGCTTTAGAAAGATCCATTTTATACGCAAACTTAGGCACCTCTATTTTTGAAAATGCAACTAACATTGGAACCTAAAATTTAGTCATTACATATACTAAAATTAAGATTGAAAGTACCAAAATTGACAAAACATTACCATAGATAAAAAATCTGTCTATAAACAATGCATCTGGTTATCTAAGGAGATAAATTCCTGACTAATGCCCTGACTACATGCAGATATTTGCCCAGTACAAACATCCACTTGTTGCATAATTAAAAACTCATCTTAACGCCATAAATAAATTTATATTAGCAAAATATTTATTGTGTTCTTAAAAAGAAGATAAAAAATTGCAGTCATAAATACTTGCAAAATTAGACTTTCACACACAAACCATCACGTATTTAACCACTAACTGTCATACAAAATATGTCTTGACAGTGGCCAGTATCTGCTTATTACAGGCAGGACAGTGAGACAAAGACTTAGAACATTCTTCACAGGCATATAGATCACCACATGGCAGGAACAGGTCTTTGATGGGCGCCTGCTTGCACACTCTGCAGGTTAGTTGTTTCTGTAGGGCTCGATTCTCTTTTTCTAACAAGGCAACTTTGATGTTTTCAGCCGGTGCTGCAGAAAGTAGGATAGAAAATTTATTTTACAAGGAATATCAAAAACTTAAGTAAAGACAGGATAAACCTTTCAGATAGTGCTGTAGAAAGTAGGATAGAAATTTTTTTTTACAAGGAATATCAAAAACTTAAGTAAAGAAAGGGTAAACCCTTCAGATAGTTTCAGCCAGTGCTGTAGAAAGTAGGATAGAATTTTTTTTTTTACAAGGAATATCAAAAACTTAAGTAAAGACAGGATAAACACTTCTGATGGTTTCAGCTGGTGCTGTAGAAAGTAGGATAGAAAAAAAAATGTAAGCAATATAAAAAATGTAAGTAAAGACACAGTAAACCCTTAAGATTTTTAGCTGCTGTTGGGGAAAGGACAGAAAAACATACAAAAGCAATTTCTAAAACTTAAGAAAACTGGTGTGTAGCTAAAAACATATATCAATGTCAAATTTAATCAAAGCCCAAAGAAGTGGCAGAATGTTGCTTTCAAATAAATATATGACTAGAAAGTGAGACTTTCTAATCTAGTTATTTACATTTGTGTAGAAGAAATACTATGATGTAATAAACAATAACTGAAAAGGAAAGAAACAAACTACTGTTTTTGGTAATATTTAAATTATCTTAATCTATTTTAAATCAAAGAGCTGTTTAAATCAAAGTAAGAGATATAACTGACCATCTAAAGCAGAAAATGATAATTTTTTTTTGTGTCTGGAAAAACAATGAACAGCCACATTTCTGCAAACAATTCAAATTATGTCTGGTATTTTAGGTGGACGTTAAGAATTGGAAATATGAAAATGAAACCGTACGTCTTAGTCTGGACAATGAAACTGATATCTAGTGATTAATAAAACATCTTTTTTAATTTTTTTAATAACCCTATTTATCCCATTGACATAAATACCATTGAACATATCAAGCAATCTAGTTGGTTTTTTAATCAAATCAAAATAACCATGTAAATAGTTTTTATTAACAGCACTTATAAGTGTGAGACTGACTGAAAGTGACTGTTTTAACTGGAGAACAATAATGGTCACAACACACTGGCTTTACTATCTAGAGTAGTGGGCGTGAGGTTGTTGGGTTTATGGAGACAAGTGAACCAAAAAGTGCACAGAAATTGAATTGTCAGTGAAAAGTCTATTGTAGTTAGATAAATGAAGAAAATATGGAAAAGGATAGGCAGAAAAACTTTTCAGCTATTTATTAAAAAGCAGGGTATCAGAAAATGATCTCTTTTTCTGTGAGAAATTTCCTTCAAATTGAAACAAGAAATTTTGACAAAAAAACAAAAAAAAATAAACAAGGAAAGTGACATCAATCTAAACTTTACCCACCACTATGTGCTGCACCAGTTGATGTTGCAGTTTGTGTTGTGGCTGGGGTTGGTGGACTAGTTGAGGTGCCTGGGGTTGGTAGACTAGGTGTCTGGAGAGGATCAGACCCATTAGGCTGCAACACATCAGGAGAGGAGGAGGATTCAAGACTATTGGTATTCTCTTCAGGCTCATCCGCTGGGGAAAGCACAGTATTAACAAGGTTGGTAGAATCTATAGGACCAGCACCTGAAATAAAGGAGACAATAGGTGTACAGTGTGCTGCAGATAAACATTACAACTCAAGTATACAAATACACATTTAAAAGAAGAAATTCTAATTTAAAATAAATGAAGTTGAGGATTTACAAAACTATTTTAAATTAATTTAGTATTATTATATAGCTGTAAGCAAGTAGTATTTTCTCACATAAATATCTAGATAACAAATACTGTAAACTTAAATAATCTCACAATAGCACAGTTGTATCTCATCATACACCAAGCCCTAATTTAAATGTTTACCAATAGTACTGAAGAATTAAAACAGCAGACATGATCAAGTTTTTAATTCTATTGTAAAATGTACCAACTTGCTAATCAAAAATTTGTTTCAATTACTATGACTCTAAAAAAAATGATGAACACTATGGAACTTTAAACTGTGAAATATAGGGGAAAACATATTTAAAGGCACACCTTGCTGCTCTCTAGAGCGTATGTGTAGCTGCAGAAATGGGCAGTGAGGTCTAAACTTTTTATGTTGTTCATGGATGTCATCTCCAGGTTTCCATGACTTTAGACCTAGTCCACACTGGTAACATCTAACACAGTCAGCATAACCTGCATGTTTAGAATAGAAATTAGGTGCCATGACTTTAGACCCAGTCCACACTGGTAAAATCTGACACAGTCAGCATAACCTGCAAGTTTTAAACAGGAATTAGACAGGTTTCCATAAAACTATTTTTTGGGATGCTCATTTGAACACCTCAAATTTGGTTTGCAGGGTAGAATGCACCGGGAGTTCACCAGCTCTGATAGGTAGCTGATTCAACTCATGGGAAAATAAGGCAGATGGTCACACTTCTAAACACGATCTCTTACATGCAGAGGTCAAATAAACAAGAAGACTCTACTTCACCTTCCCTATTTGCTCATGCTGACAGATCTAAAAAGATACTTCAATTTTACAAAGTAACCTAGTTTAAGTTTGCTACAACTATTTTCTACTTTATTATTAATCCCAAGTTTTTGTCAATGTCAGGATGAAAAGAAAAAGTACCAGCATAAAAAAATCCAGCAGCGGCCAGATCTGCAGGCTGATGAATGTGAGTGGACGGCCACTGGGTGAAGCTCTCCAGCCTTTTCTTCAATGTGATGTAAGCAGGATTTGATGGGTGGCTGTATGCTCTGGTATCCTGGGCTTGTGCAACTGGACGGAGGGTTTCTTGAACAACTTGTGTAGGATTTGGACGAGAGGATGAATCTGTAAGATAATTATTTTAAGTATTTATAGCACATTTTAAAAGTAGAAAACATAACATTTTTAAACACTTTGTGATTCCTATATTTTTTTAATCAAATAAAAAAGGCAATCATGTACACAAATATGGGATGACGTGGTCTAGTGGTAGAGAGCTAGAATCCGGGTTCAAGTCAGTAAAGGTCCCTGAGTCCACCCAGCTCTGATGGATACTTAACTCATGTTAAGGAAAACAAAGGTGGCTGACATAGTGCTGACCACACTATCCCTTTATATGCTAAGTTCTCTGAAACAGCTGAACTCTACTTAATCTGCCCCATGTGTCTTGAACACAAACAGGAAAAGATTATGTATATAAATAACATCCAGAATAAACTTTAATGAATTAGGCCTACATTTTATGTTAAAAATTTTAACCTTTATTTTAATATTTTAAGAACAATTTACCAGAGTAGATTCTGTTTTGTACATCATTATAGTTGTTCTCTCTGCTATCTGATGTAGCTTCAACATTTGCCCTAACAAGTTGATCCCCAAACCCAGTGACTTGTGAGGCATACACACAGTTTCTCTCATGATACTGTCTGTCAGCTGGATCAGAGGTAAAGTGGGATATGGCGTGTGTTTTCCTACAGCCTATGCAGATGATGGTAGAGTGTTGGGTAGAAAAAAAGAACCCAGCGTCAGCCAATTCAGATACGTACACGTCACCAATTGCACCTGTGACAGCTCGTCTAAATGTAGCAAGTCGTGACAAAAGACTGTTGTACTCAGTGTTCCATTCATCCATTTAATTTATGTAAGTGCGATATATGTACCAGATGTTACTCTAGAATGTCTCTACTGACAATCGTTGACAGCAATAAATTTCTTTTTGATATTTGTAAAATGAAAACTCCACCAATTTTTTTTTTAAATTTAATTGCACGAAAAGGAAAAACCCTTTCTTTTTCCACAATTTTATTTGAATTAAGATTCAAATTATGAAAAAATGACTTATAAATATAAAGCAACTGTAGAAAATTTTCACCCATGTATATTATATCGTATCTATACTTTAGAGAAAACTGATTAATAATGGATCAATACAGTATCTCTTGCAGTTCAGAAGAATAATATTATATCCAAGAGATGACCCCATATATTTATATGTCGAATATTCATGAAGAATACGCTGAAAATAAAAAACAAATTAAATGAATCAATAGATTATATTTAGAGATTATTATTATTATATTATACTTATTAGATCTATATCTTTAAAATAAAAAAAACTTAAAAAGTTGACTCAATGCTCCATGCGGCCTGAGCTATTTATTTCATTTAAATTTTAACATATGTAGATCTATTCTATACATTGTTAATTGTATAACAAGTAAAAAAAATCTTAATAAAAAGCTTTTAAATTCACACTTAAGGTAAAAGGAAGGGCATCTGTCATAAAAATGTAAATATCAGAGGGGTGTCCCACAGCTGTAACCGTGGCAGTGGTATGCTGTAGACACCCTGTGCACTCCATCTTCTGTCTTAGCACCTCAGTTCTGCTAATTAATTGGCCTTCCTGCTTGAGTTGTTAGAGCACTATGGCGATTATGATAGTTTAAAGTTTTAAAGTTTAAACTTAAAGTAATACTTAAAATACTAGCGCCGTAGCCAGAGCTATTATAATTATTATTAAATAATTAATAATTAATTAGGGCACCTAACATCTAACAATTAGAATCTAATCTAGAGTTTCTAGACTAACTAGACCCTAGATCTAGACTAGATCTAGATTAGAATTATCCTGACGTAAGTTACAATACTAAGTAGTAAGTAGACTAGTAAGTATCTACTAAATCTAGAAATCTAGACTAGATGTAAAATCACGTTATACTGTTATAGTTATAGCGTCGATTATTATTCCGGAGTAGATCTAGATCTAGATCTAGTACAGCAGTAAAAATAAACCGGGAGTGATCTCCCCTAAACCTTCTCGAATATTCTTATATAACTTGAAATATAGACATGATTTTTAATTACTTAAACTTTTAAAACTAGAAGAGAATCTCACAGAAAAAAGAATTGCGCACCAAGCGAACGCCAAAACAAAATGTGCATAATATTGCGCAATATTATTAGTACTTTATAAATTTACATGCGTTTTTTGAGAAATCGAAAACAGCGTAAATTAGTACTTCCGGTCAACGAAAATTACTCAAAATTTGACAGAAGGCAGATAATTAGATCTGTTACTTACAAGTGAAATTTCATTTATTTATCTAAAATAGTACTCAAGTTATAGGCTTTTGAAAAATTCAAAGTTGAAAAAGTACCACTTCCGGTTATCGGAAATCGCTCAAAAGTTTATCAGGATCTACGATTTTGATTAAATACACGACAGGGTTCGGCGTGGTCGAGTCGAAATAGCTCATGGTTGCTAAACCGAAAAGTCTCGAGTTCGAACCCTCGGACAGATGAGGCTCGTTAGCTGGGGACAGCCACTCTTCTAGGAGAGACAACTCCAAAATTAAACAACTGCTCTTGGTTGGACAAAGGCTATGGAAGCAAATCCAAAAAGAAAAGCAGGCTGAAATCGGAGTCAATGGCCTCAATGGCGCATAACCAGTTGACACGTAACGCTTGTGTTGGAGGCGTGGTCGAGTCGGCAAAAAGCTCATGGTTGATAAATTCGAACAAAGTCTCGAGTTCAAACCCACTGGCAGATAAATCTCGATCCCCTTCATATGAAATTTCATCAACCTTGCTGTAAAGGTACTCAAGTTATCGTGTTTACACACAGACAGACAGACAGACAGACACACAGACATACGGACAAGATTGCAAAATTATGTTTTTCCGTATACAAGACTTTCTCTATACGAGAAAGTAAAAACCAGTAAAACCATAGAGTCCTTGCAAACACGTGACCTAAATCGCTGGACGTGTTCACCGTATGTAAAGAATCGCGACGGCGGAAAAGGAAAAATATGTTAAAAAACTTGAACTCTTAGGAATTGAAGATCCTTGACAGTTATTGACAGTTTCGTGGATAATATAAATATGTGGCCGAAATTTCTAAATAAAAATACTGTTAGTAATACCGTTTCGTTTAGAGTTTAAGTAGACGAAGCTGATCAAATGCAGTAATATATTAGAGGTTATCTACTGTAGCAAACGTGAGACCACTTAACTCCTACAAAACCCACACTACAACGGCTAATATAATCCATGGGTAATAACCAATCTGGGTAGCATGTTATACAATTTAAGACCCTTATAATCCAGCAGGGAAGTAATCAGACACATTAATACTGACTTTCAACCCTCATGATGGCTGCCCCCACCTGTATCTAGCCCACAATAAAACCAAAGAGGAGTCTGCCCTGCCCTCCCCTGAAAATGTCTCACCTCCGTGATACCCAGCCCCACAGAGATAGTATTTCTTATATAATTTTGACCCTCAGGGCCCAGCAGGGTGAACAAAGGGGAAAGTCCCACTGCTCTCCCCTCAACACTTCTCACCTCGGTGTCATGTTATGTCATTTATAGCACACACGGCTTATCAGGGGAAAGCATTAAGGCATTAAGAATCTTAACTCTGGACAGCTACACACTAGTATACTAGCTACACACTAGGTGCCTACTGTAAACTACTAGACTGTAGGCCCTATGTAGACCTGCAATTGTATCAATTGTAGACTGGGTCCATTGTTATTATTCTAAACCATCTCACTTATAATGTTTCTAGCTTGATTTGTTTCTTTTATAAACAGTGGATTTAAAAAAAAATTAGCCTAATCATTAACCAAATAATAACAATGTGGTTATTTGTTGTTGGCTGGTATGATCTAGATTGTACTACTAGGCTACAAAAACTTAGTAGACCAATTACTAGATATGAATTTGAATTTAATTAAACTCAGTCCAGTATCAGATACATATTGCTGTAAAAAGACAACAAAGTAGGTAGGCCTTAGTAATTTATTAAAGCCTTCTACTACAATAATATCAACTACATGCTTGTATAAAGTTTTTACAATTTAATTTAAGTAGCAGATTCTAGATCTAAGTCTAGTCATATAATCTATTTCAATTTCAGAAAATTTCGTTTGCTAAAAAATGATTAGACAATAGAGCGAGATTTTAGATCTTAGAGACAATTAAATGCTTTATTAGGCCTATTATGACTACTTTTGATTTATTATGGGTGTATTTTGAATCGAATGTAGATCTAAAGTAATTAAATTTAAGTAAAGAAGTAGATTCTAGATTCTATGTCTACCCAGCGGAGCCAGGTATTAGGCCTACTATTAGATCTTATTATTCTTATTAGCCTATTACTTTTGACTTTGTCTTTTACTATTAGTATTTGTGAAGGTCGAGCAGATTTGTTTTATTAATAGTTATCTTTTATAATTAAAATGAAGTTTATTATTTTACTGTCCTTACATGAAACAAAGTATCGAGAACTGCATTTGATCAGATTCGGCTACTTTAACTCTAAACGCAAACAGTATTACTAACAGTATTTTTATTTAGAAATTTTGTCCACATATTTATTTATACGAAACTGTCAATAACAGTATAAGGATCTTCAATTCCTAAGAGTTCAAGTTTTTTAACGTATTTTTCCTTTTCCGCGGGTGCGGTTCTTTACATACAGTGAACGCGTCCAGCGCTGGTGAACACGTCCAGCGCTGGCGAACAGCTGATTGTGTTTACGTCTTGTGTACACCACTGTGGCGGCGGGCGTAGGTATCACGAACGGACGTGACGTCATATGAAAGGACTCTATAGCGTAGTCTGTCGAGCCGTTCCGGAAACCATCGTAAATACTGTAAGCCAAAATTAATACATAGACATGTTTAAAAATGTGCATGGGTTAATTTTAGTTGCATTAAAAGACAGTACAACTGTCTGGAAAGAAAATTTGTTCTCTACCTACATACTATTCGATAGCTCGTACTCGTTTTTTAATATAAATTTTTACGTACATATATGTGCAAAAATTAGGGGGTGGTGTTACATACAATAAATCTCTATACTACTAACTAAAACTCAACTTTGCTTACATTTTTGAATATTTATTTGTTTGTCTGATTTACTACTGGAGAGAATCTGCCATATGTATAGACCTGTAAAATAGTATGTAGGTAGAGAACAAATTTTCATTTCAGACAGACTGTTAATCACACATTTATTTAAAGACGTTAATTAATTTATTGATTTATTCATTGGTAGATTAACTACATTAATTTTAAAAGTTTCAAACAACAGCTTTATTTTGACTGAATAGTGACGTCACATTATTTGTTTACTTTTTAGTACAATAAAATGGCGGCTTCTATCGAAGAAGATTGTGTTCCCATTCCAAGGTTTAACGCGTTCTAAGGCTAATTTTCTGTCGGCTGTAACTATAACAATACGTCCGTTTGCTCTATTTATTACGTTCCAACACATATCAATTTTCAACTGTCGAAGGAAAAAAAGTTGGTAATCTATCGTTTTGGGTACGTAAAATCGTCCGCGGCTATTAATGTACGAAAACGTTACCTAATTGTCAAGGCTTTAATAGAAGTGTATTGTCATATGTTTGTGTCAAATATTATAGATAAATGAATAATAAACCTAAATCAATGGCTAAATATATCGATATAGGCCAGAAATTAACTTTAAACAGTAGTGTCTGAGAGCAAGATTTGCTATATAAACAGCAGCCTTTTGTAAAATAGAGTGGCTTCCCCCTGAATCTCGCGCTATAAGCTTATAAAAATAAAACTTAAACAAAATGGCTGCTATAGTAAATGAGCATGGTTGCATCCGTTGGAAACATCGCTAGTCTTCATTTATTACGGAAGAGTTTTAATTCAATTGTTTAAAAACAGGTACATAAATGAAACAAGGAAA